AGGGCCATGCACCGCGCTGGCTGCCACCCACATCCTTCGGGCACGCGGCTCTCCTCCTCAGCCTCCTCCTCCTCCTCCTCCTTCTCCTCCCCCTCCTCCTCGTCCTCCTCCTCCTCCGTAGCCATTGTGGCACAAGACGGCATCTTTTGATTTGGGCTCAAGCGAGCTTCCGCATGTTCTGATCTGCATTTGGAGCTCTGCACTATTTTCTTTTCTTGCACGTCTGGTCGTTGTGATGTCTTCAGACGATGGTGTAGATTTGGCTTGTGGTTGAATATTGTGCACTGCCACCAGGGCGTTGAAGCTTATCACGGCTTTCTCTGGCAAGCACGTTTTCGGGATTACACAGTGCAGTGCATTGGTGTCGGCGCGGTCTCTCGACTCCTGTTCGCCGCCGCCTTCAACAGATCGGCATCACTCATCAATTCCTTCGACATGGTTCGGATCCATGGGGGGGCAGACTTTTTCGAGCTGCTGGAGACCGAGCTGCGCGCTGGCGTTGCGGGCCCTTGTGGTCGAGCATGTGCACCGCGTTGGCAACGTCGTGCACGCCAGGCGCCTGACGGAGTTCACGATCATCCTAGTGGTGTCTTCTAGCCTTAGGCGCGATGCCCCTGCGTTCATATCGCGCCAGTTGGATTCTTCAGATTGCGCACAACAACATGTTACCTCTTCAGTGTCTGAAGTGGTGTTATATGTTCCTGCGGTGCTGGCGGCTGCTCAGGCTCACTATGATAATCAATTGGATATGTATCACAAACTCGTCGAAGCTCAGAACCCGTCTATTGCGAAGCTCCAGGGTGTTCTGGAGGAGCAGGCGGGCGCTGCACGGTCTTCTTCTTCTATCTTAGTGGCCTCCAGTGCTTCTTCTGCTTCTGGTCCCTCTCTTTATGGCGATGTGGCCGAAGAGGCGAGCCCCCAGGTGAGTAGCCGCATTCGCGCGCTCGAGGCCCAGATGCACACGATTCGTCTTTCTATAGGATTATCTACACCAGCTGGCGTCATCTGCTTGATTGGCAATGTGTAGCTCCATCGGCGATTCTGTCTCTTCGGCGTTGGCAGCTGTCCCCCCAAGCACTATGGAAGAGGGGGTGGTCCCGCAGGTTGAGAAGCTGTGTGAGAAGATGTGCGGGGACCTCGACGCTCGTGTCAAGGCCGTTGAGGAGAAGCTGGTGTTCCTCGGCATGCGGCCGCCCCCCTCTGAATATGGTACTCGCGGGCGCTCTCCTGGTGTGCCGTGTGCTGCAGGCTCTGGAGGTGCTGCCCCGCCGCCGACGGCCCCGTCGTCCAGTGCCGCGAGGCGGGTGTGCAGGCACGGGAGGAGCTGTCGCCGCGCAGACTGTATCGTCATACATCCTGGCTGCCAGGACGTAGCCGACCACGCCGAGAGGACTCAAGCGAAGGAGAAATCAGCTGGCGGCCGTTCCCCTTCCTCGCACGGTCTACGTAGGCTAGAGCCGAGGAGCACTCCAATTGACTATGGCAAGCTTGACGACATGATTCACGATGGCAATGCCGACGACTTCCTGGCACGATTTCTTGGCGGCTGGATGGCGCCTGAGTGGCTTAGCGACGCGATCGGTCAGCCTCCCCTTCTTGACGTGGACCGACACGTCCTGCATCGGCTGGAAGCAGCGGTGGAAATCGTCCCTTTTTTCGAGTGGGTGTTCGGTGCCGCTGCGTCGTCTTCTCCTGAGCGGTGGGCTTGTCAGGAGCTGCTCTTCTTCGACGTCCACCTCCCCGTATTCGTGTTGCTTCGCGTTCTCTCACTCCCCGCTTCGCGGGGTGCGGATACGCCGTGTCGTTTCGAACCGAGCTCGCCTTTCGGCCACGCTCCACTTCCTCCTCCTCGTCCTCCTCCTCCTCCTCGTCCTCCTCCTCCTCCTCCTCCTCCTCCTCCTCCTCCTCCTCCTCCTCCTCCTCCTCCTCCTCCTCCCCTTCTCTCCCTCTCTCCCTCCCTCCCCCATCCCTCCCCCATCCCTCCCGCATCCCTATCCTTTCCCATCCTCCTCATCCTGACGCTGTCCTCCCTCGTCCTCCTCCTCCACGAGGGACGCTGGCCCCAGACGCCGGGCGCATTAATGCCTTAAACCCCAGAGCTTGTCCGTGTCGGCCTCCGAACTGTTTTCGGCCCCCTGGCACCCAGGGACCTCCCTCCATCTCCCTCCCTGCTCTCTATGACTCGAGGCCAATACGTATTGTGCAGCCTTTCCCACGAGCACGAGCAGCCGCAGCAGAAGAGCAAAGTTGGAAAAGTGGTTGCATCGACGCACCAGACAGAGCCGCTCATCGCAGCACACCTCAAAAAAGAGCTGAGTGAAGCCCAGGCCCGAAGGCGAGGCACAACAATGCAAGACATTCAGAGCCCCATCACCCTCGCCCCCACCTTGGGGCTCAACTGAGACGCGGCCCATGAAACCCATTCCGCATGCATCCTCCGCTTGCAGCTCCCCCCAAACCTGGGGCCATCGAGCCCATTGTCCTGTAGGACAGCACGGGCCACAAGATCGAAGAAGCATGTTCGGGCAGGCCCAGGGTGAGGAGAAGTCGCGCCAGAGAAGTCCAGAACGCTCTCGGAGGGTCCCCGAACGCTCTGGAACGGCCGCGGCGGCCGACACGCCCTCCAGATCCGCCAGCTCGCAGACATTCGCGATTTACCTTCATCCGAATTGATCCTCATCCTGCGTTCATCTTGCCCTGGCAGGCGCGCCTTCCCCCTTCTCCTCCTCCTCCTCCTCCTCCTCCTCCTCCTCCTCCTCCTCCTCCTCCTTTTGATCAATTACATTCAGCAAGGGCGGTGTTCTGTCCGCCGCTGGAGCTGGGCCCCTGCAGCAGCAGGCCGGCCCCCCTTCCACTGATGGCAGCGCCCCCTGTTTGGAGACGACCAAGCGGCGAGGCGTAGCGACGGGAGGTGCCTCAGAAGAAAGCAGGTAGGTTCCTCACGAGCGGCGAACGTATCCGTAGCCACCCCCTCTCAGTCTGGCCTCACGGGAGCGATCCCGTGGATACGCGGTCGCACGAATGCGTCCCGAGCGGGGGCATCCGCGAAGCAACGTCTCGTGTTTGTCGACGTGGTCGCGGCCCAGAGACCTGGCCCGCGAGGCTGTGGATACGGATATGTATGTTTTCCGCCTGCTAGGGTTAGCAGCAACAGCTTGACACTTACACTGGTCAAGGATTACCGCGTCCGCCAAATCCTGCGGGGGCAAGGTGGCACATCTCCTGGACGTTTCAACGCGATGGGGCACAATGAGGATTGCAGGGCGCTGGGGGTGGTGCGGCAGCACCGCCCTCTGAAGCCGCGCGCTACAGACCATGCAGCAGGCCGCGGATAGCAGGGCCTGCTCGAGTGACGGATCGGACGGGCGGGGTCAGCGACATTGAGATCCAACATTCGAGCGCGATTCCAAGTCTCTCGGGATGGGGCGTGTCGCAAACCAATCACCACTCCGCTAACCCAAAATAGCTAAAGACCCACCTCGATGCACGTCGCCCCAAACTGGCGAAGTGTCTGGCGGAACCACTTAGACTTGCAATTCCTGGAGGTCGCCAGGACGCCCTTCCTCCGAAAAGCTGCGCAACAACTACCAGCCCTGCTCATCAAGAGGCCACCGGACCACCACAGGGCCATGGGCCTCTGCTTGGGGAGCCAGGAAGAGGAGCGAAGCAAAAGCGGGATCCCCGAGGCGGGGATTCTATCATATCCACCGCCTGGGGGATCGATCCTCGCGGACCTCCACAGGCGGTGGACATGGATATCTTCGGGCCCTCGGGAGCCAAAACATATCCATATCCACCGCCCGCTGGGGCACCAGGACGTCGGTTCCCAGGCGGTGGATATGGATAAATTCCCGCCTCGCAGGATCTACTTTTCGAGAAAGGGAGCAGCCATTCAGACGATACGCGGAGGGTTGGCACAGTACTCGGGAGGCCCAGCCTTCCTGTTCGTCTCTCGCCCATCAACCGTCTGGTCATTCCGCCTGGCCTAGTGGATCCAAACGTGACGGCACTGGTGAGGACGCAACGGGTATTTGTGCAAACAAGAGAGAGAGAGAGAGAAAGAGAGAGAGAGAGAGTGATACCGCCATGGTATATTGGGCACACCGCTTCTTCGAGGGAAGACAGGTGTTAATCAGCGACGTGGACCTTCATGGCAGCGGGGTCCTTGCAATGGTGGCCACATGGGTAACAAGTGTACGCCACACGAGAGTGAGTGGGGGCTTACAGCGATCCGGGGGTCGCAGTTCGACCCCACGGAAAAGTCTGTCCAACCTCCAATGTCACAAGCCGAGCTCATGATCGTCAATTTGCCCGTAAGAGCGCGGCCTTTAGCGGCCTGGGCGCGAGGAAGCGCTGGCGCGATCCCCCGCACCATCTTTCTCCCTCTCCTCCTCCTCCCTCTCCTCCTCCTCCTCCTCCTCCTCCTCCTCTTCCTCCTCCTCCTCCTCCTCCTCCTCCTCCTCCTCCTCCTCCCCTCCTCTTCCTCCTCCTCTTCTCCTCCTCATCATCATCATCCTGCTTCTCCTCCTCCTCCGTGGGAGACGCCAGACCCAGATTTCGGACGGAAAGTTTGTTCAATCCTAGTGAGCATTCTCAGGCCTCTAATCAGAAATTGATGTGGGGCCAAAAGCTGAATTTTGGGATGTGGTCGACTGGCGGGGACGCCCGCCACGCTCCGATTCTGACCAGGTCAACCCCGTGCCTGGCCGCGGTGTACACACCCTTCGGCCAGGCCGGGAGGGCGCGGACGTCAGCCCGGGCCGAGGGCGGACATGGCTGGACGGGGTTCGGACGATGATGAATCCGTTCCAGAGCGTTTCGGAACGTTTTCAGAGCGTTCAGGAACGCTTTGAGAAGGCCGCGGAGCAGGAGACATCCTCCAGATCCGCCGGATCTCAGAGATTCGCAACTTATACTTGACCGATGTTATTTTCGCCCTGATGCCGTCTTACATCGCCAGGATCGGAGTTGATGCGCGGTTGGTGCTGGCATCCTCCCAGGTGAGCTCGAGCTGTCCAGCGCCCACGGTTTCGAGCACGGAAGGCCGAGGGATGGAAGGGAGGAGAGGAAGGGAGACGGAGGTGGTGGTGGAGTTCCTTTGCGGCTAAAGTCAGATGGTCGTGGGAGAAGATTTGGGGTTCCCCCTCACTGACGGCCTCTGCACCCCACAACTGGGGGGCGCCAGCGACGGTGCCAGCAGGCTACCGTCGGCGCGCGGCCTTATGTCAATGAGAGAAAGACAAACTAGTCAACTCGTACACGCCAGCTGACAAGTTCCTCGGACGAAAACCACTGCAGCATACTCAGGCCAAAGCGACACAGGCGAGCTCCGTCCAGAACCGCCCGCAGGTGGAAGTAGGACCCCAGGAGAAGGGAGAGCCACTGCAACGCAAATTAGCCAGGCGAAGGGCCCAACCATATGCAGTTGTGGGTGCCGTCGCTGTATACACCGCGTTCGGTGGAGCTTCCCTTCGGGGACACGAAGCGTGTGATGGCTGTGCTAAAATGTGCGCGGTGGGCGTCGTGCGAACACTGGCATTTGCGCCTGCAGTGGGGCTCCTTATGGGGCCACGAAGCGTGTGAGGGTGTGCCAGAATGGGTATTATTTGACGCGGATCGTGATTTCCCCCCCCGCACGCACGCAAGGGCGCTTGAATGATTTCGGCTTGCGGCGCGAGACGCTCGTCCGGCAGGGGCCCATGAACATGTTGAGAAACCCATGGTTGTCTTGGGAATTCGCAAGCGCGAGCGCGAGCTTCTTTGAAAGTTTACGTTGCGAAAACATATGGTTGTTATGCATGTTCGGGGCACTCGGTTTTGAAACCTTTGCGAAAACTAAGGTTGTTGAGCGATTTCGGCACGCGCGCGCGACAGTGCCCGGCTGGTAGCACGGCATGACAAGGTTGAACAAGCTATGTTTTGTTTACAAAAAAATGCAACAGCGCGCGCAAGCTTGTTTTGGAACATCCACGTTACGAAACCAAGTGCTTTCTTGTTTTTTGACACTCGATTTTGGAGCCCCCACGAAATTTTAGGTTTTTGAGAGATTTCGGCATGCACGCGCGACGACGCGCGCGCGCACGTCGTCCCATATTTTGCAAGGGGCTCTTGACACTTGATGGCTTTAGATAAACGAATGTGCACGCGTTTTTCTCTGCGGAGGATGACGGGGGGTGTCGATGCCGGCCTGCCTATGATGCCATGAGTTCTTTCTCAGGATGGACGATGGGGCACAATCACATGCAATTTGCAAGGCGACAAAGGGTGCGTATAATCCCGGGGGGGTCGATTTTTCTTGTTAAGAAAGAAAATCTACGCGACGGCGGCGACGGGCGGCGCTGCCCGCAAGAGCCGCCGCTCGCCCCGCGCGGCGGCGACGGCGACGGCGACGGCAGCGACGGGCGGCGCCGCCCGCGAAAGCCGTCACTCGCCCCGAGCGGCGGTGACGGCGACGACGACGGCGGCGACGGACGGCGACGGGTGGCGGGGTGACGAAAAGCCGGCGATGGTCACCAGGTGGTCAAGACAAGCAAGAAACCTTCAGTGCAAGCATATTGTGGGGAATATGGTAGAATAAGGCAGGGTCAGGTAAGGCAGGGTGCAGTAAAACAAGTAAAATATGCAAAAGGCAGTTAAGGAACATAAGGGAAGGCAAGGTAAGACAAAGTAAAGAAAAGCAAGTAACGTATCTATGACAATAAGTAAAGGCAAAGTAAGCACATGCAAGGTATGGTAAAGTGAAGTAAGGTTACTGTAAAGTACAATAACATAAGGTCGGGTAAGGTAGAGCGAAGTAAAGTACAATGACGTAGGGCGAAGCATAGTAAAGCAAAGTGGAGTAAAACAAAGTATGGCCGTGTCTGAGAAGGTAACGTAGAGTAAAGTTCAGGAAAGTAGAGTCAGGTAAAGTAAGGAATGGTAAAGAAAAGCACAGCAAAGCAAAGCAACGACAAGTAACGTACAGCAGCGTAAAGTTCTGGAAAGGAAAGCAACGCAAAGCAAGGTAAAGTGAAGTGAATGATAGTGAAGTAAAGTAAGGTAAGGTAAGGTACAGCGAGGCAAAACAGCAACGCATAAGCAAGGCAACCTAAAGTAAATCAAGACAATGGAAGGTAACGTAAATTAACGTACAGCCAACTGAAGTACATGAAATCCGATGAAAGTACAGTCAGTTGAAGTGAAGTAAGGTAATGTGCAGTATTGTAACTTAAAGTAAAGCAACTCAAAGTAAAGCAACGCAAAGCAAAGCAAGGCAACGCAAAGAAAAGTAAAGCAAAGCGAGACACAGCGAAGTAATGCAAAGCGAAGCAAGGCGGCGACGGCGCGGCGACGGCGGCGGCGACGGCGGCGACGGGCGGCACCGACGGCGACGGCCGGCCCTGGCTCCGAGACGAGCGGCGGCGACGGACGGCCGCTCGCCAGGAGGCTGCCTCCGCGGCCTGGAAAAGGCGGCACCGGCGCTGCTGCCCTACGCCAATTTTTTCTGCCGCCGGGACCCCCTGTATCATTTTTAGGGCGCGGCTGAGGACTACCGCCGCTTGCGCTCCACTGGCGGAGCGGGCCATGGGGGCGCGCTGGCGCCGCTGCTCTTCGCGCGCGGAATGCGGCCCTACGTGCTACTTGCCCGCCTTGGAGAAAGTTCTGCGAGAGGCAGCCCAGCGGCAGGGGCCCAACGCAGACGACGTGCGCGTCCTTGCCTATTCGGATGATGTCGTCGCGCCGGCGCCCTCGGCGCTCGCGGGCGGCGCGCAGACGGCCGCGCGGGGGGCCCTCGGCGGCCTAGGCCTTGAGCGGGGGCCGAGGAAGACGCAGACTTGGTCTGGGGGGGCAGCCTGCCCTCCAGGGCTGGAGGAGCAGTGGTGCGCGCGCGGGTTGGCCCCCGCGGAGGCCCTACCAGGGGGGCGTTGCCCTCCCGAGGGCTGCCGGGCCATAGCGACGGGCGCGGGGTGGACCTTGGCGGGGAAGATTACGCGGCTGCGCGCTACGCGGAGACGGCAGGGCGAGCGGCCGAGCTGCTCGCCATGCTCGCGGCCCTCCCCGCGACGGCCTCGCCGCGCCTGCCTACCGCGCAGACCGCCGCGCCGCTGCTCTGGCGCGCCAGAGCCAGCAAGCTGACGCACCTCCTCCGCGCGAACACGCCGGCGACCTCGGAGGCCGCCGATGGGGCCTGCGACAACGCCCCGCTGGCCGCGTGCGCGGAGTTCTCGCGCCTGGACCCACCGACAGAGCCGCCGAGGGCCCAGTGTCAGCTGCCGCCGCGCACCAGTGGACGCGGCTTCTGCGGCCAGAAGCAGCTCGCGCCCGCTGCCTGGGCTGGCTCCTGGGCGCAGAACCTCAGCTGGGTGAGAGAGCGCTGGGGGCTCGCCTGCCTTGCTGACCTTGATACGTGCCCCTTGCTCTTTGCCTAGGCCTGCCGCGGCGCGCTGGCCGGGCTCGCGCAGCTGGCGCCGCCGCCGCCCCGCCCAGGCACGGGGCCGGCCGAAATGCCCGACTGGCAGGCGCTTGCGGAGACGCCGGAGCCGAAGCTCCAGAAAGCACCGACAGCCAGATTCGACAAGAAAACTTACGACTCTCGCTGCGCGCCCTGGCCCAAATTCTGGACGACGCCGACTACTGCAGCGCGGCGCGGGCGCTGCTCGGCCAGGCCGCGGCCCCCATGGGGCGATTTGCTGCAGCGCCGCGCGACTAGGGCACGCGCCGGGCAGCGCCGCGGCGAGCCGCTGGAAGGCCAGGCCCGCCACGCCTGGCGCCGCGCCCGCGGGGGCGGCCTCAAGTCGCGCAGCGGCGACCTTGATCGCGCCTGGGGCCGCGCACGCGCGGAGCGCGGCTTCCGCGCGGGGAACCAGGTGCACGCCCCCTCGCAGGGCCGTTGGCGCTGGCGCTGCGCGGGCTGCGACGCGGGCGGGCGGGCGTAGGACAGGCCAGGCCGGCGGGCCACTGCGGCAACTGCGGGGCAGCGCTGCGCACAGAGAGGGGGAGGCCATCCTCGACCTCGAAGTGCAACGGGCGGAGCATTCTCGCTTGTACTTCGACGTCACGGTGCCCTACTAGGAATTAGCTGCGTGCCTGGTGGCGCTGCAGCTCTGGCAGCTGCGGCCGGGCGCGACGGCGCAGTCAAAGCCGAGGCGGAGGCCGACAGTAAGCGGCGTTACCCTGCCAGCCGAGCCCCGCGGGGCATGGCGCCGCTGGCGCTCGAGACGGGCGGCCGGCACGGGCAGGCCGCCCTGCGGCACTTTCGCGAGTTCGCGCGGGGCGAGGCGGCCCTGCTCGGCGAGGCGGCCTCCCCCGCAGCCGCCAGCCCCCCCAGTGTGGCCGTCCACCAGGCCACCGCCCGCCAGCTCAGGATGGCGCTGCGCGCTGACCGCGCCAGCGTTGGCCGGGCGGCCGACCTGCACGGGCGGCGGCTGCGCCGGCGTAGCCGCGCCAAAGCTGGACCGGCCTCCGGCCGGTGCTCGCGTTCGCCTGCCAGTTCTTCGGTTTGTTGGCGAAGCTCGGGGGGGCGGCGAGCAGGAGTGTGTCGTAGACCGCGCTTCGGGGGTCGAAGGATCGGGAGGAGGAGGAGGAGGAGGAGGAGGAGGAGGAGGAGGAGGAAAGGGAGGAGGAGGAGGAGGAAAGGGAGGAGGAGGAGGAGGGAGGAGGAGGAGGAAAGGGAGGAGGAGGATGAGGATGAGGAGGAGGAGGAGGAGGAGGAGGAGGAGGAGGAGGGGGAGGAGGAGGAGGACGAGGAGGACGAGGAGGACGAGGAGGACGAGGAGGAGGGAGAGGAACGGAATGGATCATAGAGTGAGGCCAGCGCTGAGGGTCGCGCGGACGTCCGAGGGGCTTGTGCAAGGCCGCCTGGGGGCGAGAACCCACCCCGCTTCCCCAACCAAACAGGCGCACTGGTCGCAGAAGGCGTGCGCCCCCACCTCGGCCATCGGATGGCCGAGGCGGTGGAACAGGTCCCAATCGGCACGGTAACGCTCCGCAGAGCTCGCCGCGCCAGCCCCCCACGACCGGCCAGGGACCAGGGCAGGGTCAGGGAGCGGGGGGCCATCGAGCAGCTTGGGGGCGGCCGAGAGGGCCGCTTCCGCTCCCTCAGACGTCAGGAGCCCAAAATCGGTGCATGTATTCAACAGCCTCTGAGCAGCCCAGCGCTGGATGTCCGAAGGGTTGCAAACACGGTATTTCACCACCTGAAGGCTGTGCAAGCCAACGCGGGACTGTGTAACCGTGTTGCACTGCCCGCACCCCCACTCACCACGGGACGGGCTGAAAAATATCTGGTGCCCAGTCCCATTTCCGAGTAAAGGGGGCGGGATGCTGGGCAGGGCGCCAGGAGCAGGACCCAGACGACGGCCGACCTCCGACTCCGACGTGAAGAGCCCGAGATCGATACTTCGGCGCTCTGCCCAGGCTTGGCACACGCCGAACGCATGCGCCGCAGAGAGCGCCATCCGAAACAGAACAGCAATGCCCCGGCCAACACACTCTTCAGCGGCCCCCCGTTTTGCGAAAAAATCGCCCAGGCATTCCGAGGGCAAACAAAAACGGGGGGTCATGCAGGGGCGCTCTGACCATGGCGTCTTCCAGGGACGTGTGAGCAGGACACCACACGAACTCGGGAGGTGGTTTTTGGCGAGCCTGCGCAACCGCGCGAATTCGTCGCCATAAACTAGCATGTTTCCATCCAGGCCCCGCGTCCGCGGGATCCCAGCGCTGGCCCTCCTCGATGAACAAGAGCAAATCAGGAGGGATAGGAGGAGGAGGGATAGGAGGGATAGGAGGGATAGGAGGGATAGTAGGGATAAGAGGGATAGGAGGAGGAGGAGGAGGAGGAGGACGAGGAGGAGGAGGAGGCGGAGGAGGAGGAGGAGGAGGAGGAGGAGCAGAACGGGGGAGGATTCAGGGGGACGGAGGGGGGAGGAGGGGGACCACGAGCGAACCCCTCCAAACATCGGCTCCCTGCTCCTGGCCACCATTTCTTGGGAGACCCAGCCACGTCGACCAGGACGGGGCCCCCGATGACGCCCAAGAAGAAACGCCTAAATCTCGACCAGGAGGAGCGTATGGAACCTGCGGCTTTCGAGCCGCGAAGGCCAGAGCAGTGGCAGACCGCCATCGGCTTGCTGCTGTTGGAGTGGGACAACCAGGTGGCGCCCCTGCTCCGCGTGGCTGAGGACCGGGGGTGGCCAGAACCGCGGGGATGGGCGGCGAGATCCCCTCCACCCCCACGGGAGGGGAGAGGAGTGGGTAAGGGAGCAAGGGGAGGAGGAGGAGGAGGAGGAGGAGGAGGACCAGTGGAAACCCAAGAATTCATCAACAATGTTGTAATAAACCCTCCCTCCAAGCTCCCTCTTCATAGGCCCCTACAAAGGTTCATTTCCAGTGAGGGAACTGCCTCGGTGGAAGACAACCGTTTTAAGACCCTGAAGCATGTCAAAACATTGATCTCATAATTCCAATGCCACAGGTCAACCTGACTGTTGCGTCTTGACGTTCTTGAATCGTGCCAGAACACCATTCCTGGAACTTCAACTCCGCGAGTCAGCGTAACTGTTGCACCCTTATAATCTTGAATCCTTTCAAACACAATTTCTGATTTGTTGTTCATGAGAGTCCGTGACACTCTTTCAAACGTTTAAAGCAAGTGTGCGCGGCGTTAAGGCGAGAGCCACACTTTGAAAGCGATCCGCCCTCAATCCGTGAAACTCCGTGCATGTTTTAAAACAGCGAATGTGCGCGGCGCTAATGCGAGAGCCACATGTTGAAAACCAGCCGCCCTAAAATCCGTGAAACTTCCCAAATGTTTAAGGCGAATGCGCGCGGCGCTAAGGCGAGAGCGACATTTTGAAATCCACCCGCCCTCAAGATGTGAAAATGCTGCCAATGTCTCACCTTCAGGGTCATAAGTGGTGAGGAAGTATGAGGCGAAACGCCTGGCCCGCCCTAAAAACTTGCCTCGGGGCGCGACAGGGAAAAGTTGTTCACAAGGAACAGGAATGGAGGAGGAGGAGGAGGAAGAGGAGGAGGAGGAAAAGGAGGAAGAGAAAGAGAAAGAGAAGGAGGAGGAGGAGAAGGAAAAGGAGGAGGAGGAGAAAGAGGAGGAGGAGTAGGGGGAAGAGGAGGAGGAGGAAAAGGAGGGGCAGATGATGGAAAAGTGAGGAGGGAACCGACGACGCATGAACAGGAGGAGGTACAGGAGGGGGCTGGTCACTTTTGCCCGCCATCGTCGTCGCCCAGGCGTTTTCGCCCGCGGTCTCTTTCGCCCGGCCGCGTTTGCCCAGTCCTTTTCGTTTGGTCTCTTTCACCCAATCGCCTTCGCCGCGCCCAGTTGGTTTCGCCCAGCGATTTTCGCAACCGTCGTTCCGCCCTACCCGCCCGTCAGGGCCCGCCCGCTCGCGTGTCTGGAACCCCGCCCGCCCGCTTTGAGACTATGTCATCAGCATTTCCTCAAGGACTGCGACTTAGTGCACTCGCCGAGAGATCACGAGAACTTGGACTGGATGTTCGACAAGAGCGCGAAGTATACATCGCACCACCTGCGCACGTCTGGAGGCAGCTGAAGCAGCTATCGGAGATGTTTGCAGCCATCCCAGGCGATCTGATACATTTATATGTTCTTGTGTGTGTGTGCGAAGCCAGTGCCCGGACTGATAGATGCCCCGTTGTTATGACAGGCGACGCCGACGCTCCGCATCAAGGGCGACATATTCGGCAAGGGAGATTTACTGGACGAGAGTTGTTTTGCGGGGCCTGACCTTCGGAGCGAACAACTTCGATGGTCAGCGACCGCTCACGTGGGTGATCTCGCCCCAATATGCGCGCGAGAGCGGCGCGGCTGGGCCCGCGCCCTCCCTGAGAAGTTCGGCAAGATTACGCAGAAAAGGATGCCATTGACGCGTCTTGGAATCGAGTATCGAGAAGTTGCCAACAACGCGATATTTCTGACTCAGGGCGTCTTTTTGGACACCGTCGAGTCGCCCAACATCGACAATGACAGGCTCAATGACGACAGCGTACAGTGTTCAGCCAATGAACAACATGCCTTTCGTTCGTCTATTTGCTTCACCTTCTTCAAACTCGTTAGGATGTCAGTGCTGGCGCAACTCAGATGCAGACGAAACAACTGTGCCCAACGATTGGTGGCGTCAAGCAGTTGAAGGCAGTCTTGGAGAAAGCCAAGAATATTAGTGACGGACCATGATAAGACTTCAAGGATATGAACGGCCGAGCCAAGCTTGTCAGCATCAGCGACGCAGCACATGCAACGATAACGACATCATATGCTCACGAGGCACAAAGATAATTCCTGATGGAGGATCGTGATATAAGTGCCAATGGTCATGGTATTGTGCAGCCAGGAAGCTATGAAGGAGTATTTGGAGCAGCTCATATTCTTGTTGGTCAGAGCAGGAATTCACAAAAAGTGTTTTTTCGACAACCAATGCAGAGACCGCTGCAGCAGTTGGAAGATCCCAAGCAGCACTGTCTACGGCATTAAGACTTACTGATGTACTGGCTCGTCCAATGAGTGGAAGGTGTTGGAATAATGCCCTTGCTGGACTCATGCATATGCAAGATGAAGGAGAAGCTGTTGTTCAAGTGGATGTGTAACCGACTGCTTCGACCTCTCCAAGCTTGTCACTGGCACGAAGGTGATTCCAGTTGATAATATTCAGCGTTTATCAATCCTATCCCTACGAAAGGATGGACTCCCACGACGAGTTCGACGTATATACCATTGGTCGACCGAGATGATGGTGATGGATGGTTTGGCAAAGCCGGGAGTGTTTCCGTTGACGCAGGACTATTTGCTTTCAGGAGTGATCCGCTGCAACGGCCTCCTCAAGATGAGTAACGGCATCCCGAACCAGATCGCGATGAAGGAGGTGGTCCGGGATATGGACTTCGCAGAGCACGACCTTGTGAACATGCAGGCCCATCGCCGCCTCGCGTTGCAGTAGAAACGCAGAATCAGAGTGATATTGTCAAACCTGTACTGCATGCGAAGTGGGTGTAGGTTTCCGAGACCATCCCGAGGTTCCCTCGAGTCGCCAGTGCCACGCGATGGCTTTTATTACGTATTGCTGCAGGGGGATTTTTTGCCCGTGATTCGACCTTCGGGCCCAAGGCTACCAATAACAGCTCGAGGAGGAGGAGGAGGAAAAGGAGGAGGACGAGGAGGAGGAGAAGGAAAAGGAGGAGGAGGAGGACGTGGAGGAAGGGGAGGAGGAGAGGGGGGACGGAGGAAAGAGGACGGAGGAGGCAGGACGGAAGAGGGAGGATGGAGGAGGGAGGGCGGAGGAGGGAGGGAGGGACGGTGGGAGGGACGGCGGGAGAAAGGGAGGGGTGGTGGCGAAAGAGCTGCAGCGGGCCCGCGGCCTTGGCCGGCCCCCCCGAGCTAGGAGGAACAGGCGCGCTTGGACCGCAAGCTGCGGCGGTCCGCGCGCGTCGCCGCCGCGGACGCCCCCGGCGTGCCGCTGCAGGCGCCGACCGCGTCGCCGTCGCTCTAGGAGGAACGAGCAGCTAGACGCCCCGCGGTCGGCTCCCGCGAGCGTCCCTGGCGTGTCGCCCTGGCTTGCCGCTGCGTCGTCCTTGTCGTCGGCTGTCGGCGTCGGCTGTCGGCGTCGGCGTCGGCGTGGCGGGGGCCGCGCGCGGGGCCACCTCTCCACATCTCCTCGCGTCATGGGGTGAAAACGCGGCACGGGTCTCTTCGCCGCTTTCGCTTCTGGGGAGCCTCGCCGGGCTTTAGGACCGCGAAGAGACGACTTGGGCTCGGGCCTGTCCCCCTACAGGGGGATGTTCGACGAAAATAAAAGATACCCGAAAAATATTCAAAAAATAATCCAAAAATAGTCTGGGGACTATTTTTGGGGTATGTTTCGACCTTTCTGGGGTATTTTTAGGGTATTTCTTTTTGTTTGTGGAAAATCCCCCTGTAGGGGGCAGGGATCGATGCTTCTGGGGGCCCAGTTTTGAACGAAGCAAGACACCAGATGAATCAGACTGCTGGGTTTCTTTGTCGTTCCGCTCGACCTGAGGGGTTCCGTCCACGGAGGCTCCAGGGGAGGAGGGGGAGGATTGAGAGGAGGAGGTGGAGAATTGAGGAAGGCCTGCACCCTCCTTTTTTCTCATCCTGCTCCTCCTGCTTCGCTTCCTCCTCATCATCCTAGGTCATCATCATCACCTCCTGCTCCTGCTTCGCTTCCTCATCATCTTGCTCATCTGATTGGATTTCCAGCGATAACCTGATTGCTCATCCTGCTGCTCCTCCTCCTAGGTCATCCTCATCATTTTGCTCCTGTTCCTTTTTCTCCTCCTGCTTCGCTTCCTCCTCCTCATCCTAGGTCATCATCATCACCACCCTTCTCCGCCCTCGTCCGTTCTCCGTTCTCCCCCTTTTCCCCTTGGGAAGGCAATGAAGGCTCCTGGTGTTCCTCCTCCGTCCTCCGTCATCCATCATCCTCCACCGTCCTCCTCCTTGATAATTTTATTATTGTTAATATTATTTTGATTGTTGATATTAGTATTAGTATCCTTGTTCGTTTCCTTATTATTCTTCTGATTATCATTATTCTTCTTCGTCGTCGTTGTCGTCGTCGTCGTCGCCGTCCCCCCTCATTCTCCTCCTCCTTCCGCCCCTCCTCCTCGCCCTCCCTCTGCCAGGCCTTGCAGATCTGCGCTGGGGCGTGGGCGCGCGTGCGGCAGGCTTGTGGCCCTCTCGAGGGGCCGGTCGAGAAGCTGCAGGCTGTCGGGGGGGGGATCTCTCGAGGCCTTCTGCCTTGAAGGGCCAAGCCTACTTGCTTCCAGAAGACCAACAACTGGGGCCGATGCCCAACACCGCTCTCGCGTCCTGGCCAAAAGCGTCTATGGGCACACTGGGTGCCGTGACGTCCATCGACGCTCTCGGGGTGGATGCGTCCATGGACAGCGTGGCCGTTGCCTTCGGCGCGGTGCATGGCCAGAGAGAGGGAAGATCCGTCTGCGGCATGTTCCTGTTCTGGAGCAGGTCCCGCGTGGTACTTCAACTTCTGCCGTCGTCGGCCTCTGGGGGGCCTCCCCCAGGCCCCGGGGTCGGGAGAACGTGCAACTCGGCCGAGGCGTAAAGCTCGAGGTCGGTTCGGGGAGGGTGCCCTCATGTTCTTCGTGCTTTTGGGATGTTCTCGTGCATCCTGAGGAAGGGTGCCCTTGACAATGCTTGTCGTTTTGGCCGGTGAGGGTCTCATATTCTTGAAGGGTGCTCTTCTGTCCCCAGGTCCGGCTGTAAGGCTCGAGCACGCCGGAGCTCGGATGTGCCGGCGCTTTTTGACGGGCCTGTCCTGGATTTTGGCGGTCCAGTTTTCATGGGGTGTCTGCAGCGGGAGTTCGCGTCAGATTTCAGATTGGGTCTCGTCGTTTTCCTGACGGTCCCGTCGGGCCAGCCCGAGTCCCCCTCACCCTAGTCTTGCGTCTCCCCGACAGGATTTTCAAAAAAGGGCTCAGGATGAAGAGCTGGTTCTGGGGAAGGCCGCTTCCTCAATGCTAGACGGGAGCTGCAGCAGCAGCAAGTAAAGAAGGGCCAGGGGACGCTTCGACAAGGCGTAGGCAGGGCAGGGCTTTAGAAGCGCACGTGCATATATATATATATATATATATATATATATATATATATATATATGATCCAGGGCTCCTGGCCCACGCCCCCCCCTGATGGGATGGGTCCCAGGGCTCCACGGCCCCCCCCCCGGATGGGATGGGGGGGGGGACGACGACGACGACGACGACGACGACGACGACGACGACGACGACGACGACGACGGCGACGGCGACGACGACGACGACGACGACGACAGCGACGACGACGACGACGGCGGCGACGACGACGACGGCGACGGCGACGACGACGACGACGGCGACGACGACGACGGCGACGACGGCGACGACGACGGCGACGATGTCGACGACGGCGACGACGACGACGACGGCGGCAACGGCGTCGGCGGCGCCTATCTCCGAAGCCCTCCTACCACGACGACGGCGGCGGCGACGACGACGACGACCTCTGGAGCTCTCGTGGAGCACCACAGTACCACGCCACACACGCCACACCCACAGCACCACACCACACCCACAGGGGGGGGTGACCATCGCGCGGGGGGGGGTGGGGGGCCGATGGCATCAGCATGAGGGGGGGGTCAGACCCTGGACCATACATTAGTCCCGCTTGTCTCCTTTCATCCTCTCAGCCTTAGTTTTGCTCCTAGGTGCTTCCTTAGCCCCTGGGCGGTTCTACGTCTGCCCATCGTTGTTTGTGCTTCGCGTGGTTTCTGGACACCTTCGAGTATTCGAGGAGGCGCAGGGGGCTGGAGGCGGGCCTCGCTGCACTGCCTTTCGGAGCGCAGGCGCTCGCTCTCGGATCCGCTTGCCGAGCACGCATCGGACGACCGGGGCCTCATGGTCAGCCTGGTCTGGACAAGGATGGGGAGCGTCGGCTCGTCTGCTTGTTTCTTGCGTTCTGTTTACGCCGCGCGCGCCCGTCCATTTCTTGGGCATGAGACAGGGAGACATCCGCGCGGATTTCCTAAAACTGATGTTTCGATTGTTTCTTCTTCGACGGGGGCTGCCCAGTCTCGCTGGCGTCGCTGCGCCTGCGCGAGCCTTGCCTCTGTGCCTCTCCCCATCGCAAGGCATTCCTCGAGAGGGAGCTCTCGCCGGGCGCGGTCCAGGAGCAGCCTGCATCGTCCTCCCCTCCCTCCCTGCCTCCCTCCTACCTCTTCCTCCCGCATTATCCGTTTCGTTCCTCCTCCTCATCATCCTGTTTTTCCTCCTCCATTCCGTGTCCTTGTAGATAATTATTCTCCGTCGCACCCCGAGGCCGGTCGAAAGGGCGGGCCGGGCATTTCGCTTAAGATTTCTTCACCGCTCATGATCTTGATGCTTCAAAGTTGGCAACAGCTTCACATATGGAGGGTGGGTGGTTTTCAAAATGTAGCTCTCACCGTCGCGCCTCGTACACTCTTCTTAAAGATTCGCCTGGGTTTCACGGACTTGGGGCGGACGGGTCGTTTATATACAAAATGTGTTTTCGCTTTAGCGCTGTGCGCGCTTGCAAGAGCTTCACGGATCGAGGGTGGATGGTTTTGAACATGTTGCTATCGCTTCGGCGCCGCGCATGTTCATTTTTAGGTTTGCAAGCGCTTCATGGATTGAGAGCAGTTCGTTTTCAAAAGATGGTTCTCGGCCTAGCGCCGCTGGCATTCGCTTTACAGCACGGCCAAAGTTTCACGGACTTAGGGCGGGTGGTTTTCAAGATGCGGCTCTCGCCCCAGCGCCGACCACGCGCATCTTAAACCATTGCAATAGTTTCGCGGATTGGGGGCGGTTCGTTTTCAAAACGTGGCTCTCGCCTTAGCGCCGCGCGCTCGTTGTAACAACTTGCAAGCGCTTCGCGGATTGAGGCGGTTCCGTTCAAAATGTACCTTTCGCTGGCTCCCATGGCTAACGAACGAAAGACAGGTATGTTCGAGCTACTCAGGACTGTCTGGGCGCAACCACTACGTTGATTCGCGGCGTTGAACTCCCAATATCGGTTTCTGGCACGCGTCAGGACCGCCAAGGCGTAACATTCAGGTTAGTTCGTAGCGTCGAAGTCTTGGAAATGGTGTTCTGGTGCGTTTCAAGATGTTCACATGGTTGGCCCCCAACGGGGCACTTCTCTTAGTGGAACTGGCCCTCTCTAGAAGCCTATGAAGAGGGATCTTGGAGGGAGGGTGTATTTCATCATCGTTGATGGGTCTTGGGGTCTTGGGTTTACAGTGGTCCTCTTCCTCTTCCACCTCTTCCTCCTGCGACTCGAACGGTACGTCCTCTTGCCAGGCCTGCTTGTCACCCTGCTTTTGCCGCGGCCGCATGGGATTTCAATGGCCCTTTTGACCGCGCCCGTTTTACAGCGTTTTGATTCACAACACGCTTGACATCGCTTTACAGAAAGGTCGCATATTTCATCCGGTTCTTTTTTACATATTCATTTATAGTTGGTAGAGGACCAGGTTCGCCATTGCTCCAAGACCACGGCCGCCATGTCCCGCTTCGCCTCGATGGCCATGGCTCCCACCTTCCGTCGCTCTTCATCGCGACGCCTGCAGGAAACGTCACTCATGGGAACGTCAGGGCTTGACCAGCCCATCCGCGGGAACACTACGTCGCGCCGTTTTGCATGCCGCTCTACATCGCCTTCAACACCATCGCTTTCGTGCACCATTTCCAGCTCACTTCGGCAGGAGACGTTACTCTAGGGTCCGTCGGGGCATCTGCCCATCCGCCAGGGCTAGGGACCGAGAGCGCGCACAACAAGCACCTCATCAGGGACCACATCACCAAGATCTACAAGGACCGCTCTGCGACCCATCCCAGGCGCGCTCGGACTGTGTCCAGGCAGCTCGCGGACCCCAAACTGTCAGTGTCCCCGCCCGCGGGGATAGCCCTAGGTGTGAGACTGTTGTTCGACACAATTTTCACATTTACGGCGTCGGAACAAGGCTCCGAGCTTCGTGGGACTGTGCCCCGAGAGCCCCGGGAGAAGCAAGAAGAGCAGAGGCACCCGGCGACTGCGTCGCCGGTGCCGAGCGGCGCCCCACTTGGGGAAATGAGAGCGGCATCCCCCCCCCCCGAGGTAACGCAGTGCAGGGCATGACGACTGGGGCGCCATCACTCCGAGGCACCGCGCCTCGGGACCCGACCCTTCGCCTTACCTACTCAGACCCGCCAGCCGGGCAGGGCGGGATCCAGATGCGCACTCCCTTAGACGATCGTGCAATTGGCGGTGTTCAGTACAGAGGTCACGCGACGTGCGAAGAGCAATCCCGTGACTGCGTCGCGGGATGCTCCGAGTGCCGCGAGCGCCCCCGTGACGCGACATAGGCAGACGCAGGGGCGCATCCTGGGCAGGTACCTTCGGCGACTCATGCAGCGCCGCTCGAGGATGCCCGGCCTCCAGAACCCCGCGACATGCAAGCTGCGTCGCCTGCGTGGACGCAGGCGGCGGCAGCGGCAACGCGCCACCTCCGCGCCCAGGCGCCCGAGAACCAAGATCGCGTGCGTTTTCCAGAAATGGGCGCGCGAGGTGATGATCCGGTCAGTGGCGAACTCCGACCTCAACGAGTTTCGCAAGGCAGCCTGCGTCGCGTCGCGCCTCGCCGGCATAGCGCGAAAGCGCGTGGACGAATGGCCGCCGCCTGTCCTGATCCAGGGGGGGCCCATCAACGGCGACCCAGCGCCACCGGTGACCTTCCCAATGCGCGGCTCGGCCGAACGAGGGGGCCAGCTGGGCGAGGAGGAGCGCGCCCCGGCAGCATCGGCGCTGATGGACTTCAACCGACTGCCGCGGAAGCGCGTCGATAACCTCCACGCGGGCATGGACGTCCTCCGTAACCAGGCGCAGCAAGCTGGCCGACTCACGATCGGCTACGAGGGGCTCAGCTTCCCCCTGCCGCGCGCCGTCGGCGCGTCGAACACTCCCGCGGCACTGCAGCGCGGCCTGCCCCGCGAACGCTCGACAGCTCACCCGCGCGGCGGGCCAGCTGATGCGCTGTGGGCGCATGATAGAGGGATCGCCATGTCATCCTGCCACGGCGGCCCACGCTGCCCGACGGCGCGCGCTCCCTGTGGTCTCGCCCGCGCAGGAGCAGCGCCGGGGCGGCACGGGCCCCGCTGCGCTTGGATCGGCACCGAGCCCCCCTATGCCAGCCGAGGCCGCGTCTGGAGGCGGCGCTTCCAGCGCGGCGCCATCTGCGCAGGGGGCGCCCCCAGCAGCAGAGATCGATTCGGGCACCGACGCCGACGCCGCCATCTTTCGGCGAGGAGATATCCGCCGACGACCCCGAGCTACGCGACACTCCCGTGGAACTACGCGGCGCGCACCTCTGCTGGGCTTGCGAGCGCGCCGAAGCATGCCGGCGCAGCTTCAACAGCCGCGGGCCCGCGCGCCGCGCTCGGGGGGTCATCGAGCGGAAGGGCAATGTCAAGGGCAGAAGCAACCGCTGCCTAACCACCCTGTCCGAGACCGACCTCCAGGAGACCTTCGCCGGTTTCGGGAAGGGCAAGGGTAAAAGGCGGCTTCAGGGCCATGGGCGCGGGTTCGGGCCCCGATGGGGCGCGCGTCAGATACCGCGAGTGCGACTCCGAGGAGCACCTCGCGCGCGACCCTCCCCCGGCGCCGCCGACAAGGGCGCGCCCACTTTTTCGGCGCCTGCGCTCCAGCGCCGCCATCGCCGCCATCGCCCTCGCCACTTTCTCTCCGGGGACAGCTAGGGCCGCCGGGGCCGACCGAGCAGTGGCCCGCGCTGGGGGCGCGCGCGGTCTGCGCGACCAGGGCCAGGGCGCCTCCGCGACTCCTCGGCAAGTGGCCGGGGGCGCCAAGAATGGCGACCCACGACGGAGCGCTGGCCCCCGGAATGGCGGAGGGCCAGTTCTGGCAGCGCCCGCGCCGCGGCCGTCGGCGCCAGCGGCTGCCCCGAGTCTTTCGTCGGACGCTCGCGCGCGGCAACCCGTTGAACGCCGCCAGTGGTCAATTCTAGCAGGGGCATCGCCATCGCCCACGCCCTCGCCGCGCGAAGCCGGACAACGACGACGACAAGAGCTGGCCGACTTCATAGGCCACGCGCGCGCCCCTGCAGCACCGACGGCCCCGGCGACTGCGTCGCCGGGCCGTCGGGCGGCAGCGGGGGAAGCACCGACAGCTGCGCCAACCTCAGGAGCGCCCGCAACACTGGCGGCCCCAGCTGCCTCAGCGGCACCACCGCTACCAACGACACCACACTGGGGGGCACAAGTGGGCGGTGCAATCCCGGAGGAGCAAACCCAGGTTCGCGACGGGATAGGCGACCTCAGCGCCCGCGTCGCCGCGCCCCCAACCCGGTCTGCCGACGCGCAGTTGCCGATCGGGGCTTGCGCGCCGTCAGTCTCAGCCCTCGGCACCAGTGCGCCGCGTGGATCGAGCTCCACGTGGCCACCGCAGTCCGCGCCAGCGGCTACGTCACCGCCAGTGCCAGAGTCTCCCCGGGGCTGCCCTGTCGACGTGAGCTAACCGCCCGGGAGAGCGGCCGCGCGGTTTGCCTGCCACGACGCCCGGATGTCCGGCGGCGGCCGATCCGAGCACAGCGCGCGCCGCCATCGGACCTTGAGGGGGAGTTAGTGATCACGTTGCTCATGCAGTTCCTTTCCGATTGTGTGGGCCCCCTGAAGTTGGAGATCAACCCATTCCACAACGCATCTGCAAATCAATAGCAGTCAAAGTGATGTTGGAACGTTTCTTGGAGGCCGGCGCGAAGACATTATGGAATTCCCCCCCCTCTTTTCCCCGCGTCGATTGGAACGATGCAAATGTTTCATGGTTGCAGCTAGTCGCGGAACTAGATATCTCATGATGGCGCGTGCACTTTGATGACCCGCGAACCTTATCCCTATTCTCGGTTGCTAGAGGGATTGCAAGAGCGGTCTGGCGGCAGGACATCGAGGCTGCCAATCGCTTCGTTGAGAACCGCCCTCCAGCAACTGATTTCCCGAGCGTTTCTGGGTCAAGAACGCGCGCGGCATTCTTCCAGCGGTGGCGCAATGCGCAGCAGCTCGAGGCCTTTGAACAGGACGCGGCTGATATTGGTGCTCGCCTGGATTTTCATGGAGGAGGGGCTGGCGGAGGGGCCGACCTTCGCGGGCGCATTCGTGCCCTCGAACATTGCGCTCGCACGCGGGTCGCGTTTGCCCGTCGGCACGTTCTCCGAAACGCGTTCGTCGATTTGGGGGCGCGAGCAGCTGCGTCGTCATTTGGGGGGGGGGGGGCGTTAGGAAGGCGTGGAGTAGGAAGTTTGCTGACGAGCATGCTTCTCGGTTCGTTTCGCCGGTAGAGTTCGCCAACGCACCCCCGCCGTTCTTCGGCGCCTCTTGGCAGATTCTCCAGAGAGTCTCGGACGCGGCGCCTGGTTGCGACATGCTACGCCACGCGGCGCGGTCTGCTAACGCCTTCCGGCGCGGGGCCCCCGCGCGACGCGATGCCTGGGGCGCCCCTGGGAGTCGCCCCGCCCACTAGCGAGAACCCCGCGCTGCAAGCCTTCCAGCTGGAAGGAGCACCTGATGGCGATGCGCAGCCTGGCGAAGGCGACAGGGGCGCGAACGTCACCAGGGCCCGCCCTGGGCCTGCGAAGTACGAGTTTCAAAGTTCTCACGGCGGCGGTGAACAGCTCGATCCAAAAACCTTTCGCCGCCTGGGCGTGGCCACCGCAGCGCGGCTTCATAAAAGGTCGTTGTTTCTATCATATCGGCTTACGCCACATCCGCCGACCCCACTATAAACTACTGCGCGTCCAGGACTGCATTCCACGAGGTTTGTCCGAATCATGACATGGCGCTCGACATCGTTCCTGTTGCCTCGTTGCTGGCATCGCATTTCGCGTTTGTTGCTTGGCCGTTGCGCGTCGCTGTTGAATTGCAGACCTGACGCAAAACCATGGTTTTTTATTCCCTGCGATGCGCACTGCGTTTGGAAATTGTAGTGCTCTCCCCGGGACTACGCTTCGTCCCGATCCGTTCCCTGGCGGCTCCCGGCGTGCCCAGAAAAGGGCTACCCGCTGCACGCCGAGAGTGTCAAAAACCTTCCTCGCGGGCGAAAAGCATTTTCGTGCCCGCGCAGTTGGCAGGCATATCAGCGCAGCAGCACATGCGGGAGAAAACTACCCAAAACGGTTTTCTCCGCGAGGCCTGACAATGTCGCGCGCGACGAAAAGAAGGGCACCCTCAAGTGCAGGGCGTGGAAATGATGCCCATTCGGGCGCCCCTGCCGCGGTTCGGGGACGTAGGACGAGAAGGGGCGACAATGAGAGGGAAGCGAAGCCGACGAGAGCGAAACCGATGAGGAGGAAAAAGGAGAGAATGAACAAGCGCAGAAGGAGGAGGAGGAGGAGGAGGAGGAGGAGGGGGAAGAGGGTGGAGGGAGGACGAGGGGCTGAAGCGGAGGAAGAGGACGAAGAGGAGGAGGAGGAGGAAGAGGAGGAGGAGGAAGAGTCATGATCTGGTCTTGGGGCCCTGCCTCGGGCCTCGTAGGGCCGCTCAGGACGATTATCTCATGCCCGAAACGCATGTTTGCATTTCGGATATGGAACCTCGGGCTCGTGGGGTCTCGTCTGACTGGGGTCTCGTCGGAGGACTATCGGGTGCGTTTTGGAGGCAGATGTTGGACTTCTTGGCAGCCTCCTGGGAGGTTCTTGGGGGCGTTTGGGGGCTCTGTTCGGGCTCCCTGGGGGCTTTTTGGGGCGTGGTGGGGGCTTTTTGAGGCAACCTGGAGGCGCCCTGGGGCCGAAGGCTGGAAATGTGGGTTCGGGTTCCCCCCGTGGGCCCCCTTTTGGCGCCGCCCCGGGGCCCTCTGGGGCCGTCATCGGGGCAGCTGTCCTAAGGGTCTTTTGGGCCGTCTTGTACGTTATGAAAGCGCAAGAGGCGAGTCTGTTTGAAACATACGTTTGCCCCAGGGAATGGGGCAATGTTCACTTTTTCGGTGTCTCTTGGGAGGCCTGCTGGCGGCCTCCTTGGGGCGTTTTGGAGGCATTTCGGGCCGTCTGGACGCCATCGTGGGCGTCTTGGAACGATCGTTCGACGATTCGGGGCCCTCTTGGATCGTCTTGGGGCCCACTTGGGGCCCTCTTGGTCCGTTTTGGCGCCCTCTATGCTCCCATGACGCGTTCGTCCAGGGCCGGGGGGGGTCCAATCTCCGGTTTGGGGTCCCTGGTGGGGGGGTATTATGGGGGGGAACAATCTCACGCGCCTAGAAACCCACAATGGGTCGGCGAATTTGGATGGCGTTGAAGTGAATGCGGCTGCTAGAGCCTACCCGAGCTGACCTGAAGCTAACTACGAGTGTCTTGTCTCGTTTGCCCTTGATTGTTGCATGCCATCCCCGCTTCATCTCAGCAAAACCTGCTGCTCGTGTTGCGCAAACTGGGGTGCCCGCACGCCCTGACATGCTTCGCGGCGCCGCTTTACTCGGCCATCGAGGGGGTGATCGCTAACGCGAGGACGCTTTCACACGCTGTTTGGCTTCGGTCGGGCATCATCCAGAGTGGTGGTTTATCTGAACCGCTGTGCGCCATCGCTTCGGCCCCAACCTTGAACGCTTTGCACGTGGGTATCGAAACCCTGAAAGGAAAGTCTTAGCCGAGCTTGTGCTGATGATATTGGTGGAGTTCTGAAACATCTGACGACGCTGGGAGTCCTTGCCCGGGTTGTGAGAGCTACCGAACAAGTTGCCCATCTTCAGGCAAAGCCAGCGACATGTTTCCTTGTTCCAGTTGTCTCGGGCCTCTAGGAGGACACAAGGAAGTGCGTTTATGAATATATGGGGCTCTGTACTCCGCGGTGACCGCGGTGGAAAAGCTTTCGGGCCCCGGGGAAATTCGTCGCATCAGACACGCTGCCTTCCTGCGCTTAGCGATGGCATGCAGTATCTGCCGCAGCCCAAGCACGTGATTGACGTTGAGATTTGATCTTCGGCTTTCAAATGTCGTGTTCCTCTCGGCACGTCCAGTGCCAAGGCGTACGCATTGCGCCGCTCAATCTCTAGAAGAAGTTTGAATTGCTTCGCGCGTATATCACACCCTTAGGCACCCTCTCCCTGAGAACGCACATAAGTCTGCCACCAACGAGATGGTGGCTTGGTCTGCTCTCAGAGACATCAGGCTGACACGGCCCGAGGCTGGGGTCGAGGAGGGCTAGCTTGGACCCGCTCCCCTTACTTCGCTGCAATTATCCTCCTCCTCCTCCTCCTCCTCCTCATCCTCATCCTCTTGCTCGTTCTCTCACTAATACGACTTCTACTCATCGCCATTATCAGAACCATAATCATTATCATCTTCATCATCATTATGCTCATGATCCTTAACGCCAATATCATCATCAGCATCGTCGTCGACAGCATCGCGATCGCCACCCTCATCATCATCATCATCATCATCATCATCAGCAGCAGCAGCAGCAGCAGCATTATCATCACCATCATCACCATCGTCATCTCCAGCACCATCAGCATCATCAGCCTCAGCACCATCACCATCACGATCACAATCGCCATCATCGCCATCGTTATTACCATCATCATCGCCACCACCACCAGCATGATCATCAGCATCGTCATCCTCATCCTCATCTTCACCACCACCACCATCATCACCATCATTTGTTTGTCGTCATCTCTATATTTGTCTCCCTCATCCTCCATCCTCTGTTCTCCTCCATCCCTCTCCATCCTCCCGTCCCCTCGTTCCCCTGTCTCTCCCATTCTCTCTCTCTATCTCTTTCTCTCTCTCTCTCTGTATGTATGTATACACATATATATACATATGTGTATATATGTATGTATCGTTTACTGTGTTGTTATTTTCTTCTCTCTCTCTCTATATATATAGCCCTCCATACATCTTCCATGCATCCTCCCTCCCACCTTCGTTCTCCCTCGTCTCCCCCTCGTGTCCCCGTCCTCCTCCCCAGGGCCTCCGCGCCTCCGTGCCCGCCATCGTTGGCCGGGCCGCGTGCGACTGGCGCTTCCGCACCGCGGCCGCGGAACTCGAGCAGCTCGAGGGCTGGTGGCACGAGGAGGAGGGGGAGATCAGGGCGGAAGCTGGAGGCAGGAGGTCGGAGGTAGGAGGAGGGAGGGGAGAAGACCGCGGGGAGGGAAGGGGAGGAGGAAGCGGGGCAAGAGGGGGGATGGGGGGGAGAGATCAGGGAGGAAGCTGGAGGCCGGAGGTAGGAGGTAGGAGGACCGAGAGGAGAAGATTGCCAGGAGGGGAGGGGAGGAGGAAGCGGGGTAAATGAGGGGAGAGGAGGGGTGGAGCGGAGGTGAACGTGGGGGGAGGGTCAGGGGGGGAGGAGTGGAGAGGAGCGGAGAGAGGAGACGAGGAGCAGCAGGGAGGAGGTGGGTACGGGAAGGAGTCGGGATATGAAGAATGCGAGGAGGACGAGGATGGAAAGACAGAAGGATGGCGAGCGGCATGATGATGCTGATGATGATGATGATGATGATGATGATGATGATGATGATGATGATGATGATGATGATGATGATGATGATGATGATGATGATGATGGGGAGGAAGAAGAGGAGGAGGAAGGAGAGGAGGAGGAGGAGGAGGAGGAGGAGGAGGAGGAGGAGGGGGAGGAGGAGGAGAAGGAAGCCCAGTGTAAAGTCAAGACGCATCAACGACGTTGCAGACAAAAACCTCCAAGTTACCTCTTCACAGGTCCCTACAAGAAGTTACGGTCACTGCGGCAAGTGCCCCATTGGAAGAAAAGCCGTCTAATAATCTTCACTTATGCCCAGCACCATTCCAGGGAGTTCAACGCCGGGAGTAAATATGATTGTTGCTCCCCTGGCAGTCGACTATCGTGCCAGAGTACCTTTCCTGGGGCTACAACACCGCGCATCAACGTGACAGCTGCGTCCTGACCATCCTGAACTGTGCCAGAGCACAATTCCCAGGACTTCAACCATCCTAATCTTCGAAATTGCTGACAAGTTTTACCGCGAATGCGCGTGGCGTATAGGCAATAACCACATGTTAAACATAAACCGCCATTCATCCATGAAATTGCTGCAAACTTTTCAGACAAATGCGCGCGACGCTAAGGCGAAAGGCACATTTAGAGAACGGCTCGCACTCCATCTTTGCAGTTGTTGCAAAGTTCCAAGGAAAATTCGCGCGATGCTAAGGCGAGAGCCACATGTTGGAAACGGCCCGCCTTTCATCCCGGAAACTGTTGCAACATTGAATGACCAATGTGCACAGCGCCGAGGCCAGGCGAGAGCCACATGTTGAAGACCACCCGCCTTCCATCCTTGAAGCTGTTCCAAATGTCAACGTTCAGGGTCATAAGTGGTGAGAAAGTCTTATGCGAAACGCCTGGCCCGCTCGACCGACACGTCTGGGGGCGCGGCAGGGAGGAGTCCTCCATCTGCCTCCGCCAATTCCGCCACCGCGCCAGCGCAGCATCCTGGGCGGCAGCTATTCGAGAAGGCAGGGGGGCCTGCTTGGGGCCCACTCTTGGGCACTTCTCGAGTGACATCAGAAGAGGTGCTTGTCGATGTTTCCTTGGATGCTTTGCAGGACCCCAAGACGGCCGAAAAGGCGTACTTATTGAAAGATTGTCAGGTTCTGTTTTTTTTTCCACTACGTCGGCTCAAAAGTATGCGCGTTGCTCGACACATCCTCAAGCATGCCTTCGGATGGGTCTTCGAACACGTAATGGTACGATGACGATGTTTATTTTGTGGGCGATGCTGACGATGATGATGGTGATGATGGTTGTGATGGTGATGGTGGTGGTAGTTAAAGTGAGGGGGACGAAGAAAAGTGGAGGTGCACAGAGGAATGAGGATGAGAACTAGGAACAGGCTTGTGAATATTCAGGGAGCGCGTGTTCATAGGCACCCCTTGTGGACCTTCAGGGGGCTCGCCTACATTACAGTTGATCGTGATGATGCTGCACTTTCTTGCACATCTCTTCGCTTTCACGCGCTTCCCGTTCATGCCAGGAAAGGTTTCTGACAAAAATCCATTGTGCCCGATTCATCATCAGAAAGTCGGCTTCGGAGGGGACTCCGAAGCAGCACCATCTTGGAATCACTCCCGGAGGGTTTCAAAACGACCCCAAAGTGCCCCAGAAGGCCTCCCAGAAGACACAACAAGGGCCCCGAGAGGCTTCCAAGAGCGTCCCAGGAGGCTCGCAGACGGCCCAAGACAGCCCAAGATGGCGCCAAGACGGCTTGAGAGAGCCCCCACACAGCCCTAAGACGCCCAGAAAGCCCAAGAAGACCCCAGTAGCCCCCAAGAGGACCCGGACAGGCCCCCCAGAGGCCCACAGGATGCCCCAGGACAGCCCCAGACGGCCCGGGACGCCCCCAGAGTAGCCTCAAAAGAACACGAGGCCCCCCGTCTTCGACGTCCTTTTCCTCGGGCTCCTTGCCGTCCTCCTTCGTCGTCGTCCTCCTCCTCCTCCTCCTCCTCCTCCTCCTCCTCCTCCTTCTGCTCAACCTCCTCATTCCTCCTCTCTTTCCTCATCTTGTATCCTCATCTCCCTCCTCCTCCTCCTCCGCCTCCTGCTTCTCATTCTCCTCCTCCTCCTCCTCCTCGTACTCCTCCTCCTCCTCCTCCTCCTCCTCCTGCTCATCCTCCTGCTCATCCTCCTCGTGCTCGTCCTCCTCCTCCTCCTCCGTTGTTTCGTTCCTCCTCGTGCTCGTCCTCCCCCATCTCTTCCTCGTCCTTGCGCTTGTCTTCCTAATTACTCGTTGTCCTTCTGTTCCCCCTCGTTGCCCTCCCCGTCATCCACGCTGTCATCCTCGTCATCCGCCGCCTTGTCGTCGCCATTTGTTTTGTCCCTTACGAGCCCAATGGACCGTCTCGGCGTTTCACGTACTTGTCCGATCAGGTTTACGAGGAAGAGGGATGGAGGAGAAAGTGGACAGAGGGGGAGAATCCGGCGGAGGCGTCGTCGGCGTCGGCGTCGTCGTCGTCGGCGTCGGCGTCAGCGTCGGCGTCGTCGTCGTCGTCGCCGTCGTCGTCGTCGGCGTCGGCGTCGTCGTCGATCGTCGGTCGTCGGTCGTCGTCGTCGTCGTCGAGGAATGCCGACGGGGAGGGGGAGCAACCCATGCTCAGGATATCAAGAGGCATCAGCAGAAGGGTAGTTCACGCCTGAGGTTTGTTTCCGGGGTGCCGAGACGCCTGCCGTGCCTGGCCAGCATGAGGGGCACGCCAACCCCTCCTATCTTGCTCCAGCTGCCTTCCCACAACCGTTAAGTCCAGCACGTCCCCCTACAGGAGGATGTTCAATGATAGTAAAACATAGCCTGGGGACGATTGTTCGACTATGTATGAAATGTTTTAGATGTTTTGAACTATGCTTTGTTTTTCGTCCAAAGCCCGCCTGTAGGAGGACATGCCCGACCTGACACTACCCGTTCACAGTCTCCCCATCGCCCCACCCATTTTCTCTTTCTCCCCATATCCTCATCCTGAGACCTCCTCGAAGCCACTGGAGGTCCTCGATGTATTGTAGATCCCATCAATACCCATTGAAGTTTATCCTCCCACTCCTTCCTCCTCCTCTTCCTTTTCCTTCCACTCAGTGGTTGCCTCACTCATTCACTCCTTTCTCTCATCCTCCCATCCTTGACATGACGCCTCCATCCTCGTTCTACCAGGCCAGGGGCCTGGGATACGTGAACTCTCTCTTTGCTCCCCAGGTGGGGTTCAGTGCGGACCGCGTTGGGGCATCGAGAGCCCCTCTGGCAGCGGCTGCAGGAAGAGGAGGGCCTGTTCATCCGCCGCGTGGACGAGGCCTCCTCATCCTCACCCTCCTCCTCCTCCTCCTCCTCCTGCTCCTGCTCCTCCTCCTCCTCCTCCTCCTTCTCCTCCTTCTGCTCAACCTTCTCATTCCTCCTCTCTTTCCTCATCTTGTATCCTCATCTCCCTTCTCCTCCTCCGCCTCCTTCTTCTCCTTCTCCCCCTCCTCCTCCTCCTCCTCCTCCTCCTCCTCCTCCTCCTCGTACTCCTCCTCCTCCTCCTCCTCCTCGTACTCCTCGTACTCCTCCTCCTCCTCCTCCTCCTCTCCTCCTCTCCTCCTCCTCCTCCTCCTCCTGCTCATCCTCCTGCTCATCCTCCTCATCCTCCTCATTCCTCCTCTCTTTCCTCATCTTTTATCCTCCTCCTCCTTCCCCTCCTCCTCCTCATCCTCCTCCTCCTCCTCCTCCTACCTCTTCCAGGGCGTCGCTTCCCTGCGCGAGAGTGCCAACAGGTACGACGCCCTTGCCGACTTCGGGGGTGAGGAGATCCGATGCGCGCAGGGCAGCCGCACGGTGCCCGGCGTGGTGTGCGGGGAGTGGCCGGGCCACGCGGTGGCCTTGCTGGCCCAGACCGCCTCAGAGATGCACAGGTGCCTGCGGCCAATCCGCGACTCCGCCGCCTGGCGCGTGGTCGACGCCGCCAGGTCCATCCACAAGGAGCTCGCCGCGGCTGGGCCGCACGGTGGCCGAGGGCAGGGGGACGGGAGCGGCGTGAGCCAGCGGCGGGGCGTCGACGCGCTCTGCGCCGCAATCGACATCTCGGCGGGGCCGCCGGCGGGGAGCGCGCTGCCAAGCACCGCGCGGGCCGCCGGCGGAGACCCGGTCGACGCCGCGCTGGTTTTCATGCAGCGGCTGGACCGGCTCGTGGCGCTGGTGTGCGACCTCCGGGACCACTTCCGCAGGGAAGCGCCCCCCTGCGTCGCGGAGGTGCACGGCGTCCTGGAGGAGGTCCTGCAGGGCTTCGGCGGCGCCGCCGAGGACCTCCTGGGCGTGATGGATGACGCCACCGCCGACAGCGTTGCCGCCTGGCTGCAGCAGTGGCGCGACCTCGACGTGGCCGCGGCGGGGAGCCGCCTCGAGGCTGCCCTGCGCGCCCTGTCGGCGTCGCAGACCGCGGCCGCCTGCGGGGGCCGCGAGGGCCCGCGTCGCCTCGCGGAGCTCCGGGGCCTGCAAGCCTTCCTCGAGGACGCAGGCCTACGCTGCTGGGCCGTGGCGCCCGAGGCGGCCCGCGGGGGCGAGGGCGCCGCGGCCGAGGCGGGCGAGGAGGAGGGCCCGCCGCCCGCAGCGTTCCTGGCGTGGGGGGCCGACTGCGACCTGTCGCTGCCCGCGCCGCCCGCGGTGGCGCCGCCGGAGGGCCTGGCGGAGCCCGCCTGCGCGACGTTCCTCTCGCGCCGGCTGGGGCCTGGCGCGGCGGCGGCCGCGGCGGTGGCCGCGGCGGCGGCGGCGGTGACGCCCGCGGCGCAGCTGGACGTGAATCCGGGGGAGCCGCGCGGCGCGCCCGCTGCCGCGGAGGGGACGGCCGTTGCCGCCGCAGCGGTGCCGCGGGCACCGCAGGTGCCCTGTGCACAGGACAGCAGGCCCCGTCCACGGGAGGGAGGGGGCAACTCAGGGGCAACGTGGGAAGCCTCAGGGAGGGATGTATCGACGCCCCATCGTCCACTCATCGCCGATAGGAGCCCGATAGCCCGCCCCGTCCAGGACTGTGCGGATCCGCTCTCCGGGGCCGTTCGCCGATCCGTCAACGATGTGCCGCCGATTCCAGGTCGATGTCCCCCCCCTTGCGCCAGCTCCCCGGATGTTTCCCCCCCCCTTCTGGGCCAGTCCCCCTATCGTTGCCCCTCTGGAGCAGCAGCCTGGATCTCTGGCGATCAGGTCTTCTCAGTCCTGGAGCCGGGCTCATGTTTGGAATCGGGCTCGGTCTCAAGCTCGCGCTCGGTCTCGGGCTCGGGGTGGGACTCGCGCTCGGGCTTGGGCTCGCGACCGAGCCTGCGCGCGCGCACGCCCACGCACGCATGCACGCACAGGCGCACGCACAGGCGCCCGCACAGGCGCACGAACACGCACACGCACACGCACTCACGGACACGCACACGCCCGCGCACGCGCGCGCGCTCAGGATCGGGTTCGGGTTGCTCGGGTTCGGGCTCGGGCTCGTCTGGGTACGCGCACGCACTCGCACGCACTCTCACACACACACAACCACACACGCACACACATACACACACACACACACACACACGCACCCACGCGCACACGCACGCGAATGGCTCCGTGTGGGAGTGAGACGTGGCTGCCATGGTATGACACCCACCTCAGGGTCCTGTCGCATACCCATCACCCTGCCCTCTTTAGATTTGTTATTCTCACATTTGGTGAGGTTCCAGCGCCGAATTCTCACGAGCGGAAGTGGGTTCCAGCACTTGCTTTTTTTCGAGTGAAAGTGGCTCCAGCAGCCCATGGCGTAGGCTCCAGCATGTAATTTTGACAAGGGGAAGTCGCTCCAGCATAGTATGCCGACAAGAAGGGTGGATTGTAGTTTGAAAGGGCAGCTAGAGCAACCTGCACCGCAGCCACTAACCCACCCTCAGCCCGTCAAACAAATCATCCGCAACTTATTGACCTCACTGCAGGTTTTCGTCTTTCCTTCCTCCCACGTCCTCTCCCACCTCCCAGGTTCCATTCCATTCCAATCGATCCGATCTGATATCGATTCTGGCCAGCTAGATGCGATTTATGTTCCGACGATCCGATGTGGCCCGATGCTTCCATAAGTTAGTTTTGCATCGTGGGCTCCATAGTCACTAGCGCTTTGTGTTTCAGTTCGGGTCCACGGAACCGCTTCGGGGAGTGTTTCATCAGCATCGTCATCATCAGCATTATCATCCTCATCCTCATCCTCATCAGCATCCTCATCCTCATCACCAGCATCATCATCGGAACCAGCTTCATTGTCAGCACCATCAGCATCATCATCATCAGCAGCAGTATCATCATGAGCATCAGCAGCAGCATCATCATCACCACCACCATCACCATCAGCATCAATCAGCATCATTAGCATCATCATCGTCGTCAGCAGCATCATCATCATCCTCAGCATCATCATCATCATCATCATCATCATCATCATCATCATCATCATCATCATCATCATCATCATCATCATCATCATCATCATCATCATCATCATCATCATCATCATCATCATCATCATCATCATCATCATCATCATCGTCATCGCCATCATCATCATCATCATCATCATCATCATCATCATCACCAACCTCATCATCAGCAGCAGCATCAGCATCATCATCATCAGTCATCATCACTATCACCACCATCACCATCATCATCAGCAGCATCAGCAGCAGCATCAGCAGCAGCATCAGCATCAGCATCATCACCATGACCATCACAATCACTATCACCATCACCATCGCCAGCAGCAGCAGCATCATCCTCCTCCTCGCCCCTCCTCGCCACTACTCCTCCAGACCATCCACGCCCTCCTGGCTGACACCGCCCTGGCCGCGCCCCTCCTCTGGCGCCGACGCGGTCTCCACGGCCTTCGGCGAGGGGGAAGCGATCACCCTGGCGCGCTGGAAGCACGTCGGGGGCCAGGAGCTTGCGCCGCTTGATGAGGGAAGGGGTAGGTGGGAGAGGGAGGGCAGGAAGTAGGAGGAGGAGGAGGAAGAGGAGGAGGAGGGGGAGGAGGAGGAGGAGGGGAGGAGGAGGAGGAGGAGGAGGAGGAGGAGGAACGCACCACTGAAGGGAGTCCGAGTCACGAACACCCACAGGATCGAAAAGAAGGAGGCAAAGGAAAGCCTCGAAATCAGGGAGGGGCGCGATGGGCGCGCCCGCCTCCTCGGCCGCGTCCGCGGCCTCGTCCACGCCTAGCAGGTGGCACCCGAGACGAGACAGGGCTGCCTCCAGCAGCTCGAACTAGCCTGTTCACCTTGGCTTGGAAAGAGGGCTCAGCCTTCAGGAGGAGGAGGGGGAGGGAGGAGGAGGAGGAGGAGGAAGAGGGAGGAGGAGGAGGAGGAGGAGGAGGAGGAGGAGGAGGAGGAGGAGGAGGAGGGAGGAGGAGGAGGAGGAGGAGGAGGAGGAAGGGGAGGAGGAGGAGGAGGAGGAGGAGGAGGAGGAGGAGGAGGAGGAGGAGGCTCAGCCTTGGAATCAGGAAGAGGTGCCAACACTGCACCGGTTCGAGGACGGAGCCCGCGCAAAGCCCGAGCAATCTGGGCCTCCTCGTTGGCCCGTGTGGACGGCACACGGGATCTGTCAGCGCAGGCTTTGGATAGCTCAGCATTGCGGCCCTGATCGACTATGAAGGCACCGCACTCGAGGCATATCAATACACGCCCGTGTCTCTCGGCCTCGTCCCCGTTACCCACCGAGGGAGGAAGAGGGGAAGATATCGAGGCCCTTGCTCAGCAAGGCATCGTCGAGGCCAGGTGCGGCTCGGAGCGGCTCAAGAACTTCAGGAGACAAACTGAAATAACGAGCAGCCGCTCCCTGCTTAATGTCAGAGGTGGCGCACTCCGTAGGCATCAGAGACTTCAAAGAAAGCTCGGTGCGCGCGTAGTGGTTGCACTTCGTGCGACTGTGCTCACCCGTGCGCTTACAGACGCAGAATTCATGAGCCGTGATCGCCAGCTTTTTAGCCGCACGCCTAACCACAGGGGCACTCAGAGGCTCCGAGGAACGAGGGCAAAGCTGGGCCGATTTCTGGGCCACCGTCTGGACCATCCAGGCGAACACCTTAGCGGAGGCTTTGGTTTCTTGCAGCTTACGCTTGTGGAAGTTCAATAGCCAAAACAGAAGCACGCATGGCCTGGAGCCAACAACTTTCGCCCGCACTATCGGCGAAATATGTTAAAATCCCCGCTGAGCCTGCCACCGCTGCAGCCCCTCTGCGAGGAAGCGCTTGACGTCCGCAGGGCAGGTGCGGACAAGATCTACCTGCCTGCCGACGTCATCCACGAGAACACTAGGCGATAGCATCGGCCAGCCAATCCTGAGCAGGGTAAGGAAAGTCGACGAGATGGGGCCACGAGCTCCCGTCCACGTCACCCGACTCGAAAACCTCGTGCGGACTTGCTCCCAGGCTCGGCGCGAGGAGGAGGAGGAGGAGGAGGAGGAGGAGGAGGACGAGGTGGAGGAGGAGGAGGAGGAGGTACATCCTTTTTATCATAATTGGCTTGATTCCTACGTGTATGAGTGCAGCTTGCTTGAGTTTCAGCCCCGTGTGCGAAACGTGCAAGCGACAAAACACAAAGTATCCACACGTGGGTAACACGGGAGGAGAAGGGAGGCGGAGCATTTTGGGGATGATGACGATGATGATGGTGGTGGTGATGATGATGATGATGAGGAGGAGGAGGAGGAGGAGGACGAGGAGGAGGAGGAGGAGCAGGCCGCCACCTCCGCATGTGCAGATAGCTCATAGTTGGTTCCCCTCATATGAATTGTTTTGGCCTGGTCTGGTCTAGTCCTGCATGGTCCTGCTTGGCCTGGTCTGGCCTGGGCGGGTGAGAAAAGAGCAGCGAGGTCTGGATACGGGCGGGTAACGCAGGAAACGTGTTCTGATGATCACTCTCTGTCAGTGCACATCCTCCTTCTCCCCCCCATGTTCATCCTGGTGTCCTTCGTGTGGGCGGGTGGGTGTCCTATGGCGTAGTCTGGAAAGGGGAGAAGCATGAGAGAGCCATGAAGTGATAGTGCGGCTCCTTTCTTGAGGGCGTCTCGAAGTTTTCTGGATGACCAGGCCATTCAGGGCCGCTCTGGAGGCTCTCGCGTGCCTACTGGGGGGCCTTTTCGGCCGTCTTCAGGGCTTCCTTCTTTAAGTTTGAGGGCTTATTGGGGGAGCGGGTGCCCTCGTCGGGGCCTCTTGGCAAGGCTTGGGTGGCCTCTTGGGCACCTCGCTGGTCACACCCGCGTTGTTTTAGGCCGCCCTGGGGGTCTCTTGGGCCTGCTGGAGGGTATTGAGGGTCTCGCAGGGACACTCGGGAGGATAATGCGGGGAAACTTTGTTTTCTTCGCGCAGATGCTAAGATCTGTCAAACCATCTGTATTTCATAATGTCCATGGTGTGTGGCAGCTTCCTTAGAGTTTGCATTCGAAAGCACTCTCACGTCATTACGGCTCGGAGGGCCGAAGCTGGACCTTGGGGAGAATGCAAGGATATGTCCCTTCCCCTAGGAGGTGGGCGGCGATGGGGAGGTGGAAGAGCAGGGCCCATTTCGATTCGACCGATCCGAGTCGATGTCGAGTTCACCCAGCTCGATACGATTCGATTTGCATTTCCGATGCGGCCCGATGCTTGCACCGCTTCGTTGCGTACTTGGGCCCAGCCGGCCCGATTCAATCACATCTCCAAACCGATGCAGCCCGATCCGATGATCGATCGGACCCGTATTCGCGACCTGGTGCTTACTGATCCTGAAGGCTAGAGAGCCCAGGAGGTCTTGCCGCCAAAGCCCCTAAGAGGCCCCGACCGCTCCTCCCAGATTTCCGTGTTCGTCCTTGACCACAGTGTTTGATAATTTTTGGGCCCCGGTCGAGGAGAAACGCCGGGGCCGAAGCAATCAGCTTGTCGGAGATTTTTAGGAGGTGGCGGAGGAGGAGGAAGAGGAGGAGAAGGAAGAGGAGGAGGACTAGATTATTTGTGGGGGCGGATGAGGAGGGTGGGGAGGAGGAGGAGAAGGAGAAGAAGGCGCAGAAGAAGGCGGAGGAGGAGAAGGAGGAGGAAGAGGAGGAGAAGGAGGAGAAGAAGGATGAGGGGGAGGAAGGGGAGGAGGAGGAGGAGGAGGAGGAGGAGGAGGAGGAGGAGCAGGAGTTCGTGCCGCTGAAGAAGAGTGCCACGCGCGGCCGCCAGCTCCCGCCCCTGCCGGCGCTCGTCCGCTGAGCCGCGCGGGCCCTGGCGCGCCCAGCAGAGGCTCCACGGTGAGCTTCGGCCGCGGGCGGGCGCGCGCTCCTCAGAGTCAAGCAGTGGCGGCGCGTCCTCGCTTGCGTACAGGCCCACCAGAGAATGTTCTAAGAACCTCCTGTGGTTTGCATGAAGTGTTCTTAGAACATTTCTGGCTGGGTCTGTCTTGTTTAAACACATCGGGTTTTTGTTCTAACAACAGTGTTTTGTTGTTTTTCTAGCGTTTTGGGGGTTCGAAGGAATTTCCGTGGTAGGCCTATAGGAATGCTGGGACCGTCGGTACTTGCTCAACTCAGAGCGCGCCGCGTCCCACGTGGGGTCCGAGCAGAGGGGGCATCGGCGCCGCGTCGCCGATGCATCGGCGACTCGGTTCGATGTGGAGCCCGGTGTTCTCCCAGTCGGCGGCACCGATGAATCGGAGGTGCGGCGCGACCCTCTGGTCGCACCTGCTCGGGCCCCACTTGGGGGGCCCCCCTCAGAGAGCGCCGCCCTGCCAGGAGCTGCGCTCGTGCCCGGCGTCTGGTCCGAGGCGGATCTGGCGCGGGACGCTCGAAGGAGAACAAACGACATAACCACAAATTTTCGGAGGTCTGCTCGGACTTCTTGGATCGGCGCTGGACCCACCTGGCGGCGCTTCTGGCGCCGCTTCTGGTGCGCTCCGCACGCCAGAGAGGGGTGTCCAGCGCCGGTGCCAGAAATCCGCGCGCGCCTCCGAAAGTTGTTTGTATGCAGTTTGTTTCTGATTTCTAGAGTTGCGGCCCACCCTGCAGGAATCTGATGGGCGATTCGGGTCAGTCCCCACGCTGCCAACGCCAAGCATTCGATGCTCGGGCAGGAGTTTCCTTAGTTCTGCGCACTCGCAAGATGCGATCGCACGATAACCTGAAGCGCATCTGCCATCGGCCATGCAAGCGTGTCACTGCTGGAACTGGACCGCTTCGCATCCGCGCTATCAGTCCCCTGATGATCATCCTCATCCTCTCTCTCCCAACCCTCATGTTCCTCCTCATCCTCTTTCTCCCCCCGTCCTTATCATCTTCCTCATCATCGTCCAGCTAGCTGGAAGGCTCGAGCCCTCCCTTCTGTCCGCAAATCTGCGCCCGTTGCCAGGATCACCTCGGCTCGCTGGTGCCAGACTGCCTTAGCATCCAGCGCTTACGCATCTGGATCGTCACGCCAGGCGCTGGGAGAAGGAGCAGACGTCAGGACGCCAGAGACGGGGGCACAGCAAGCGGGGGCACGAGGAGCGCCGATGTCCACGTTTGGCTATGCCCCCCTTTAGGTGGCCCTGGGCGCCGTAGACGGGAGCATAGTACACGGGGGCGTGTGGAAAAGCCCAAGACCCAGTTTTGCGATGCCCCCGTGGGAGACCCAGAAGACGGACGGCCCAGCGTGTACCTGGACACGGGGCTAGTGATGCGTGCCCCCCGTTGGGGAGGGTGCGGCTATGCGGTCCCCCCCCCCCCCTGCTGAGGCTCAATGTGACAGCACGTTAGGGCGGAAGGCCTCCAGCGTCGTGACGAAACATCCAGGCTGCACGTCGTTCTAAGTCTTCGGCGTCCAGTGTCTGCTTCTGGGCGCCAGGATCGTCAAGAAAGAATACTTGGCGAAAGAATATACCATGGGGTACGGTCGAGGTTTCCGGGGTGTTGCCTACATATTTATGTACACATGTACATGTACAGATATAAGCAACACAGGACAAGCGTCAATTGTTTGGACGCACGCATGCCTGGGAGAGAAGAAAAGTGTTTTGTTAACAAGGCTCACAGGAGCTTGTGTGAAGCCAGTACACACGCTTTACTAGTTCGACACACAAAAAGCATATTTCATCATGGCGCCTCTCTCTCTTGTTCTGCGTCCGTAATTAACAAGCCCAACAGTACAGGCAGGCAAACACAGACAAACGCACATCATCATCATCATCATCATCATCATCATCATCATCATCATCATCATCATCATCATCATCATCATCATCATCATCATCATCATCATCATCATCATCATCATCATCATCATCATCATCATCACCACCATCATCATCATCATCATCATCATCAACATCAACATCAACATCAACATCAACATCAATAACAACACGAGCATCACTCGACGGCGCGTGCCTCTATAGTCCTCTGCGTGTCCAGTGTCCGGGGATCGGGGATTGTCCGGGGTGTCCGGGGTGTCCGAGGTGGGGATTGTCCGGGATTGTCCGGGGATTGTCAGGGGTGTCCGGGGTGTCCGAGGTGTCCGGGGTGTCCGGGGTGTCCGGGGTGTCCATGGAGTCCGGGGTGTCTGGGGTGTCCGGGGTCCGGCGTGTCCAGGGTGCATGTCCGAGGTGTCCGGGGATTGTCAGGGGTGTCCGTTGTCCAGGGTGTGGTGTCCAGGGTGTCCGGGGTGTCGAGTGTCCGGGGTGTCCGGCGTGTCTGGGGTGTCCGGGGTGTTTGGCGTGTCGTTTGGGGTGTCCGGGGTGTCCGGCGGGCGTGTCGGGGGTGTCCGGGGTGTCGGGGGTGTCCCGGGTGTCCAAGATGTCTAGCGTGTCCGGCGTGTACAACGTGTTCGGAGTGTGTTTGGGTTGTGTCAGTCGTGTACGACGACGACAACGACGACGGCGGCGACGACGACGAGCGACAGAGACATACAGTCGGGCGTGCGCCGGGGGCAACGAAATGACGATGACCCTGACGATGACGATGACGACGACGACGACGACGACGACGACGACGACGACGACTGGGGGGAGTGTTTGGAGTGGAACTAGATGAGATCGGAGTGGAGTTCGTGGGCGACTGAGTAAATAATTGATCGAGTAAGCGATTCAGTGAGCGAGTGAGAGCGTGGAATGGAATTGAATGGTTTGGTGAAATGCTGAGAGAGGCTAATAGTGGGTGGAGTGTAATGGAGTGAGAAACTTCAAGCTTGGCGCTGGTTCTTGTAGCACATCATCCTCAGTGACGTAGCGCCAAACAAAAATGAGGACGTGTACAATGACAGTTGCCAAACTGCTGGTCTTGATGTCCGCTGTCCATGCTCGTGCAGATCAGTTCTAAGTACTTCCAGTGGAATATGTGCAGCAACATTCTATAGAAGTGAACAACATACGTTATGTTCCGCCTCTTCAACCTCACTTTCGTGGAGGGTGCGATTGATACAGGCAGTCACGAAGACTTCGATGTCGAGGACATCGCAAAGACGTGGCCCGATCACATGTCACTGTTGCATTTCAATTTCGTGACAGAATGAATTCGTACATTATTTCAGATGTTTGCTGCAATCTTGGATTTGAGGTGTCCTCGAGTACTGCTTGGTTTGTTGATTGCGGTGGTGCTGTGCTGGCCAATCTCTCTCATCTTCATGGAGAACAGTTGGGCTATGAAGCCATTATCTTCTGAATGGATGCTGTCCGCCAGCGTGTTGCGATCTGGACATATTTCATCCTCTGGGCGGACGTTGCTAGGACCCTCTGCTTCTTGCAATTGCAAGACTTCAACACTGCTGTATGTTGCAATGCTGTTTGCTGGGTTTCACTTTGTACTTCGATGGTAGTTCACCTCGTGGCGCTACCCACAGAAATGGTCGCGTTTTTGATTCGAAGCTCATGGCGACATACTTTCTGATTATAGCACATTTGTCAGGTGGCTCGTCTGCTACACGGTGTGGAATGCAATATGTTTGACCGACCTTGCTATTGGTTTGCCTTTGCATGACATCGCGATTTGGGCCATGAAATTATAATTCTACTATTGGTCGACATGCTTCTCGAGCGACGAGAATTTGTTCGCTATGGCGCGATCGAACTCACTCAGCATGTACATCGCAACCAGCGGCTGGCCTAGTGGATCCGGCCTTTTTTCCGACAGGCCGATCCCTTGGGCTTAGACATGAAGAGACATACATACATCTGGTGTTCTGGTAAGAGCCAGTGTTGCGTATAGCTCCTATGTGTTTTTTGGGGAGCGTTGCCTTATTGCTGGATGTTGTGGGGCGAAGGAGTATTATGACAAGAGTTGCAAACATCACAATATTTATTCCGAAACATCGGATGGCGAAGGGGATTCTGAGGACAACGAAAAGTAGACAGCATGATTTTGATATGATGGCCAACGAAGCGTGCTTGACCGTATGGGAAATCATGAAAATACATACAATGACCAGTATCAGAAAGCGGAGTTATAGAAGACATTTGAACGAGCGCGAGCAAGTGCTGCAAGCACAATACAGAGTGACAGCAAGTGTTCAACAACCTGCTTTGGATTGATATAGTTCGCTGTTTTATTGATGTGGTTGTCCCGTCTTCCCTCCCTTCGTCCTTTCATTCCTCCCTTTTATGGCATTATTTCCTTTTTTTCCTTCCTTCAATAGTTAATCGATCTGTTACATACATATAAATAACATCACATGTATGTATATGTATATTTGTGTAGGTATGTATGCATATAGTTGTATATATACATAGTGTATACCTATACGACCACCCTTTGGGTGAGAAGGAGGTTCGGGGGGGGAGGAACCAACGTCTCACTCGATCGGTTTCACTATCGATCTCACTATCGATCTCAGTATCGGTCTCGCTCGATCGATCTCCCTCGATCGATCTCACAATCGATATCACTCGATCTATCTCACAATTGATCTGATTATCGATCTCACAATCGATCTCACAATCGATCTCACAATCGATATCACATTCGGTCTCACTATCGATTTCATTATCGATATCACAACCGCTCTCACAATCAACGTCATCATCATCAACAACAACATCAACACCAACACCATCATCATCACCAACATCATCATAATCGGGACACCGTCCTCATCATCAACACCAACATCATCATCACGGTCACCAACATCATCGGGACACCACCATCATCATCATCATCACCATCATCACAATCATCATCATCAGCATCATCATCAGCAACATCGGGACACCGTCATCGTCATCATCATCAGCAGCAGCATCACCATCGGGACACCATCATGATCACCATCGATATCGTCATCACCATTGTGACACCATCATCACCATCTCATCCTCGTCATCGACATCATCATCATCAGCATCATCAACATCATCATCAGCATCATCATCGTCATCATCTGGGTACCATCATCATCATGACCAGCATCAACATCATAATCATCATCATCACAAACATCATCATCACCATCGGGACGCCAGCATCATCAACATCATCATCATCACCATCATAATAATCATCATCATCGGGACGCCATAGCCATAATCATCATCAACCTCATCATCATCAACCTCATCATCATCGGGACACAATCATAATCAGCATCATCAACATCAACATCCTCATACTCATCATCATCGGGACACCATCATCGTCATCATCATGATCATCAACATAACCATCATGATCATCATCGTCCTCATCATCGGGGCACCATCAGCATCATCATCAGCAGCAGCATCATCATCTGTATCATCATCATCGGGACACCATCATCCTCATATCATCATCATCGTCATCAGCATCAGCAGCATCATCATCACCATCATCATCATCATCAGCATCATCATAATCTCATCATCATCATCAGCATCATCATCATCATCATCGCGGGACACCGCGGGACACCGGCGGGACGCCGCGGGGCACCGCGGGACACCGCGGGACACCGCGGGACACCAGCGGGACACTACGGGCCACCGGCCGCCCGGAAGGGAATCATTTGGTCCGGCCGCGCCTCAGCCACACGGGACACCAGCAGGACACCGGCGGGACACCGCGGGCCACCGGCCGCCCGGAAGGGAATCGTCTGGTCCGGCCGCGCTTCAGCCACAGGAGACTTTTTCTCGCCCGCCCACGCGGCTTCGCCTCGCCCGCACGCACGGCACGCACGAACACGAAACCGAAATCGATTTCCCGGTAGGGGGGCTCTCCGTTCCACTTTGATCTCACCCCCTCACCTCCGACGTAAACATATATTTGCATACGCATAAACGCAACATGCAGATATAGTTATGTATAAGTGTATACATGCATGTGTGCATATATATATATATATATATATATATATATATATATATATATATATCAGTGTATAAGCAAGAAGAGCCGCAACGCCCAGCTCAAGCGTGAGCCCACGCCTTTCCATGGAACTCCTCGAACAGGGTTTCATCGAGATCATCCGTGGGATGCGTGGGCGCCGCTGTCCGCTCGACTGGACAAATATGTGCTCCGTGCTACTGTGAGTGCCCAGCCTGCAGCTGTGCTATCACGTGCCCGGCGTGCCCGACGTTGCATTGCGGGCACAACTACTCGGGGGGCTGGCTCGCCATCCCGATCTTCCTGGGGGTCGGCTCCGCGCAGGCCCACCTGCCCGCGGCCCAGCGCTGGGGCCTGGGGCACGGCGCGCCGCCGGCGGGCGGGGCTCGCGCCGCGGCTCCGCCCGCGCCCGCTCTCGGGGAGTTGAAGGAGGGGCTCGAGCCAGCGTCTGGAGCAGACCTGCGCGCGGAGGCGCTCGAGCAGCTGAGCGCGGCGCGCTCGCGCCGCGGCTGGCGACGGCCTGATGGCGACGAACGGGCTCGCTCGCGCGGGGCTCGCCGAGGAGGGCCTCTACCTGGCCAGGTTCAAAGTTCCTGGACCTCTGCTCTGGCACGAACGAATGCGCCTGCATCTGCCTGATCAGGCTGGGGCGGTGCGCAGCTGTTACACCCCAGACGGCGATAGCTACGAGGAGGACCTGGCAGCTGGCAGGGGCGCCGCGGAGTCGCGCTTCCTGCCAGGAGGCGCTGCGCGCCCCTGCCACCGCCGCCGCAGGGGGACCTGCTGCGCGGTTCTACCGCTTCCGAGCCGTGCCCCTCGCCGCGCGCGACCGAGCCGCCCTCGGTTTGGGTGGCGCGGCGCCGAGCTTGCCGCTGGCGCCGAACACGGCTGGCCGAGCGGGGCCCCCCCCGTCGGGCTTGGGCGCGCCTGGCGTCGCGCCAATGGCGGCGGCCGCGGCGCCCCTTAGCGCCGCGCTGGCCGCGGCGGATGCCGCGCCGGCTGCCGCCGGCGTTGGCGGAGGGCTCGCCGCTCTCGCCGCCGCGCTGGGGCCCGCGGGCGGCGCCATCGCGCCAGGGGCCAGGCCTGGTGGCGCGGTGGTCGGGGCCGCCCCTGCCGCGCCAGCGGCGCCTGTGGCGCCTGCTGCTGGCGCCTTGGTGGCCGTGGGCCCTCCGCCGGCAGCCGCGCTCGCTGCCGCGCCGGCGGCGCCCGCTGAGGCTGGCGCGGCTCAGGCGTCGACCGACCTCGGGGCGCGCCCGATCCTCGTCGACTCCATGGCGAAGAGGCATCGGGCTTTCTCCGAGGCGCTGCCGCTGCTGACGGAGACCCCGTGGGCCGACTGGCGCGCGGGGGGGGCCGCGCGCGCTGAAGTGGGTCTGCCAATTCTTGGCGGGCAGCGGCGGGGGCCCTGCGGCGCGGCACCATCGATGGAAGACCGACGGCAGGCTCGCATACGAAGGCGGCGCGGAGGAGCATTTGCGGATCTGCACCGCCATCGAGAACGCAGAGTGCTTCGACCAACTGAACGTGACTGAGATGGCCATTGTCGAGCTCCCGGGCAGGGGCCTACATATCATCGAGGAGAGATGCCGCGAGCGGACAGCGGTGGCCTCCGACGCGACCCGCTTGGACCAGCACCTGTAGTTGGGGACGGAGCTCGCCCGGGGCAACTGCTGCGTCTGCCCCGCGCTCCAAGCCGAGGCGAGCCAGGAGCTAGCCCGGGAGCGCGCCATCCTTAAGGAGAGGGGGAAGGCGCAAGAAGAACGCGCCGCCGCTCAGGCTGCTGCCGAGGCCGAGGCGAAGGTCAAGGGCGGCAAGGACGGCGGCGGCGATGATGGCTAGGCTGGGGGCCGGCGGAGAGGACAGGGCCGTCCCCGCCGGGCGTTTCAGGCCCCCGCCCAGGCTTCGCCATCCCGGCGCTGCTTCTGCTGGCGATGCACTTCGTTCCCCCGCGGCAGGGCCCGACTTTGACCTTCGACAGCGCGTCCTGCTCCCGCTGACGCTGCGCTGCCGCGCCGTGGGCTCTGGGCTCGGGCGCAGCCGCGCCGTTGAAAGGCGGCGCCAGAGGAGCATCGAGACTCTCGATTGGGCCAACAGCTGCATTGACTCGCTGAACTCGGCCTGCGGGTTCGCCAAGTCGGAGCAGCCCCCGCAGGCAGCCAACGCTGGGCAGCGGGCCGATCTTGCCCGCATCGAGTCCGAGCCCTTGAAATTGAGGCCTCCACTCGAGGAGACACCTGGCGGCGCGGGAGCCTTCGCTGAGCTCTGCGCCGCTGGCGGCCCGTGCCACGCGGAGCCCTCCAGCACTCGGCCCCATGCCAGGGGGAACGCCCCCCTGCCCGCCGCTGGCAAGCTTGTTCCTCTGATGGACCTGCAGGCCGCGGGCGACAGGAAGTGGCTGGGCCCTGCATGTGGCAATCTGCGCAGACCAGCGAGCGAGGCAGCTGCCCTGGTTGCTGAAGCCTGCCCGCGAGGCCACTACACTGACAGGGCGCTGACGGGAAGGCCCTTCTGTTACGCCTATGTTTGGAAAGACTTCCTCGCTCGGAGGAACATGATCTCTTTTCGGCGCTCCTTCGAGGCTCGCGCCTGGGTGGGCATCTTCTTCGCCGTTAAGAAGTCTGGGGCACTTAGGCTAATATTCAACACAAGGCATGTAAGCTGTTTTTTCCGGGGCCCATTTTCTACGATTCCCCACCTCGGCCGCGCTGAGCTCTGTCGAGCCCGGCCCGGGGGGCGCGCGTGCGTCGGGGGGCGATATCGACAACTGCTTCTACCGCGCAGGCTTGCCCGAGGAGCTGTCCGAGTAAATCCCGCTACCTGACATTGCTGCTGGCCATATTGGGCCCACGTCTTGCGAGGGTCTTCCCGCGGGGGCTTCGGAGTCTATCGCGCTCGTTCTTACCGTTCTCCCTGCGGGGTGGTCATGGGCGATGCATCTGGCACATACGGCACTCGTGAACAGCTCTGTGGTCCCGGGCACCCCCTGCCCCAGATGGCCCTGGACGGAGGGCCCGGCAAGGTCTTGGGGGGCGAGAATTCGCGCGTCGTGGCGGGGTGCGTCGATACTTTCTTCGCGCCCAGTCGCTCGGCGTCGCGGGCCCAGGTGGGCCAGGGCGCCATCGCAGAACACTTATCGGGCCCGTGGGCTTCGCGAGAGGGCGACGCGGCCGCGCCGTCGCCTGGGAAGGCGGGCGCGCGGGACGAGTCGGCGCTGCTGGACATCGACCCGTGGTTCCCTAAGCCGGCGGCGGCCCTGGAGAGCTCGCGGGCGCCCGACGCGCTCCTGCGCGGCCTCGACCCGGCGGTGCTCAAGGCGCGCTTCGAGAGCGCCGCCCTGCGGCTCGGCCCGTCGCCGCTGCAGCCCAGCCCACATCAGCAGCGGCACGGCGGCGCCTCTGAGGCCCTCGCCTTGCAGCGCAGGCGGCTGGCCGCTGTGCATGGGCGGGCCCGCCGGCAGAGCGAGGCTTCACTTCGCCGATACCAAGGGGAGTCGAGGTTGCTGGCGATCCTCGACCTCGCGCGCCCAGAGGTGGGGGCCTTCGGATGGGCAGCGGTAGCCAACGTGGAGGCCGCCTTGCAGTTCGGGCCGCTGGACCCGCGAAATTAATTCTCGCCAGGGCCCGCCGCCAGCGCCGCTGCCAGGGGGCGCCGCCCGAGGGACCAAGCGCCCGCTGCGCTAACCGCCTCGGACGCCGATGTCGCCCAGCACCTCCGCGGAGTTCAGGCGGCCTGACAGAGGCCAGCGCGCGCTGGGCTACTCTTGCTTTCTGGAGCTCGTAAGAGCTCCAGAAAGATCCAGAAAGCATGTGGGCGCAATGCGAGAGCGAAGCGCAGCCGCCGAATTCGGCGGCTGCGCTTTGCTCTCGCATGCCGCCCACAGGCTCGGGCCCATGGGGCCATGGAGGACCACCCCAGGCGTTCCTTGTTCCAGGTTGTCAAAGGCTGGATCTCTTCGAATGCTTTATTCGGTGTGTTCGCGGGGGCTCCTTGCACTTCCTGGTCTAGGGCGGTTCGCATCGCCGTCCGGACATCCACCGGGCATACGGGGGCACAGGGCCTCTCGCCCGAACGCCAGGAAATATTGACATCGGCAGCGCTTCCCTCATATCCACCACTGCAATAGTTCGCTCGCGCCGACGCTACCATGCCCCTGTGGGGTTGGAGAAACCGCGCGCTTCAATTATATGGCTCGCGCCACCGCTGGCCGCCCTCCTCCGCGCCGAGGACTGTTGGATCGTCAACTTCCATCAGTGTGCTTATGGCACCCGGTGGAGGAAGGCGACGACGGTGGCGACATGGGGGGCTTGTTACTGCGATGACTTGGGATGTCTGTGCAAAGGCCGCGGGGGCCCGGGGCATCTGTGGTCACGAGGGGCGCCCGCATGTCATTGTTCAAGGTCGCGACCCTGGGGCCCCTGCAAAACACGCGGCCCTAGCGGCCCCCTGCCCAAGGAAGTTGCGCGCTGTTCTGGCCAAGAATTTCGCTTCAGTGGCTCAGATGCTGGAAACATCGAAGAGGTTCCGAAAGGCGTGGGAGTTGACGGCCTGAGGGCCAGATCACCACTCGGGAAGTTGGAGACGGGGATGGCGTCCAGATCTCCAGCGCGCTGGTGTCCTTCTTGCCGGTGGTCGTTCCGATTCCGCCATTGCTGCATCGTACACACATGTTTATATATATACACACACATTGACCCGGCAACCGGGGTTCCCAGTTCGAGCCGGCGCCGAAGACGCTACTTGAAGACGCTATTCCTTGTGACGACGCGTCCCTGTGAATACGCTATTCCTTATGAAGACGCTATTCCCGGTGAAGGCGGTGAAGACGCGATTCCCGGTGAAGACGGTATTCCGGGTGAAGACGCTATTCCCGGTGATGGCGCTTTTCCCTGTGAAGACGCGTTCTACGGACACAGACAGCATTTCTCTTATGAGGACGCTATTCCCTGTGAGGACGCTATTTATGGTGAAGACGATGTGAAGACGCCATTCCAGGTGAAGACGCTATTCCGGGTGAAGACGCTATTCCGGGTGAAGACGCTATTCCCGGTGAAGACGCTATTCCGGGTGAAGACGCTATCCTGGTGGAGACGCTATTCCGGGTGAGAACCCGGTGAAGACGCTATTCCGGTTGAAGACGCTATTCCGTGTGAAAACGCTACTCCCGGTGAAGACGCTATTTTGGGTGAGTACGCTATTCCCGGTGAAGACGCTATTCCCGGTGAAGACGCTATTCCGGGTGAGGACGCTATTCCGGGCGAAGACGCTGTTCCGGGTGAATACGCTATTCCGGGTGAAGACGCTATTCCCGGTGAAGACGCTATTCCGCATACGCTATTCCGGGTGAAGAGAAGCTGTTTTCTGTGAAGACGCTATTCCGGGTGAAGACGCTGTTCCGGGTGAAGACGCTATTCCGGGTGAAGACGCTATTCCGGGTGAAGACGCTATTCCCGGTGAAGACGCTATTCCGGGTGAAGACGCTATTCCCGGTGAAGACGCTATTCCAGGTGAATTCTTGGTGAAGACGCTATTCCGGATGAAGACGCTATTCCTGGTGAAGACGCGATTCCGGGTGAAGACGCTATTCCGAGTGAAGTCGTTTTTTCTGGTGAAGACGCTATAGCCGTGTGAAGATGGATTTCCCGGTGAAGTTGCTGTTCCGGGTGAAGACGCTATTCCATGTGAAGGTGTTTCTTTTTCCACCATGCCCAGTATTCAAGGTGCTCCCCTCCCAATTGTAATTTGACAGTGCCAGTTTACTGTGCGCTTTCCGTGCTTAACACAACGCACGCCCCATCTGGTGTGCGACACCTTCTGGTAGATCAGACCCCTCCCCAAGTTGATTTAAAAATGAATCTTTGGTGTTAGGCATGCCTCATCTGCTGTGCAACACCGTCTTCTGGGCAAGACCCCTACCGGAGGACCCCTCCCTAAGTTGATTGAATAAGAGTCCCTGGTGGTGGACATGCCCGTTTGCTGCGGGGCAACGTTGCTAGGCAAGACCCCTCCCCAAGTTGATTAAAACAAAAATCCGTGTTGCTAGGAGCCCAAGTTGATGAAACAACGAATCCTTGCTGTTAGACGCGTCACATCTGCAGTGACACCCTTTGTTGGGCAATGGCCCTCCCCAAGTTGATTAAACAAAGAATCCTTGATGACAGGCGTGCCCCACCTGCTGTGCGGCACCTTCTGCTAGGCAAGACCCCTCCCCAAGTTGATTAAAACAAACATCCTTGGTACTAGACGTGCCCCATCTGCTGAACGGCACCGTCTGCTAGGCGAGACCCCTCCCCAAGTTGATTTTAAAAGAACCATTGGTGCTAGACGTGCCCCATATGCTGTGTGGCACCCTTTGTTAGGCAATGGCCCTCTCCAAGTTGATTTAAAAAGAATCCTTGGTTTTAGGCGTATTCCATCTGTTGTGCGGCACCCTCGGCTAGGCAAGACCCTTCCCCAAGTTGATTAAAACAACAATATGTGGTGCTAGATCTGCCCCTTTGCTGTGCGGCACCCTATCCAAGGTGAACCCTTTTGTTGTGCGGCACCTTTTGCTGGGCAAGACCCCCGCCCCAAGTTGCTTTAAAAAGAATCCTTGGTGCTAGACATGCCCATTTGCTGTGCGGCACTTTTGCTAGGCAAGACCCCTCGCCAAGTTGATTAATAGATGAATCCTTGGTGCTGGACACACCATTGGTGCTAGGCGTGCCCCATCTGTTGTGCGGCACCTTCTGCCAGGCAAGACCCCTCCCCAAGTTGATTGAAACAACAATCCTTGGTGCTTGACGTGCACCATCTGCTGTGCGGCACCCTCTGCTAGGCAGGACCCCTCCCCAAGTTGATAAAACAAACCCTTGATGTTAGACGTGCCCCATGTGCTGCGCGGCGCCCTCTGCTAGGCAAGACCCCTCCCCAAGTTGATTAAACAAGAAGACTCATTGGTGCTAGATGTGCCCCTTTGCTGTGCGGCACCCTCTGCTAGGCAAGACCCCTCCCCAAGTTGACTAAACATGAATCATTGTTGCTAGGTGCGCCCCATATGTTGTGTGGCACCTTCTGCTAGGCAATGGCCCTCCCCAAGTTGCTTCAAAAAGAATCATTGGCGCTAGACGTGCCCCATCTGTTGTGCGGCACCTTCTGCTAGGCAAGACCCCTCCCCAAGTTGATTTAACAAGTATCCTCGCTGCTAGACGTGTCCCATCTGCTGTGTGGCACCCTTTGTTAGGCAATGGCCCTCCCCAAATTGATAAGAAAAAAAACCTTGGTGCTAGGCGTGCCCCACCTGCTGTGCGGCACCTTCTGCTAGGCAAGACCCCTCCCCAAGTTGATTAAAACAAACATCCTTGGTGCTAGACGTGCCCCATCTGCTGAACGGCACCGTCTGCTAGACAAGACCCCTCCCCAAGTTGATTTAAATAGAATCTGTTGTGCTAGACCTGCCCCATCTGTTGTGTGGCACCCTTTGTTAGGCAATGGCCCTCCCAGAGTTGATTTAAAAAGAATCCTTGGTTTTAGGCGTGCCCCATCTGTTGTGCGGCACCTTCTGCTAGGCAAGACTCCTCCCCAAGTTGATTAAACCAGAATCCTTGGTGCTAGATGTGCCCCTTTGCTGTGCGGCACCCTCTCCAAGGTGAGCCCCTTTGCTGTGCGGCACGTTCTGCTGGGCAAGACTCCCCCCCAAGTCAATTAAAATAAGAACCCCTGGTGCTACACATGCCCGTTTGCTGTGCGGCACCTTTGCCAGGCAAGACCCGTCGCCAAGTTGATTAAAAGATGAATACTTGGTGCTGGATGTGCCCCTCTGCTGTGCGGCACCCTGTGATAGGCCCTCTCCGAGTTAATTCAAAAATAATCATTGGTGCTAGGCGTGCCCCATCTGTTGTGCGGCACCTTCTGCTAGGCAATGGCCCTCCCCAAGTTGCTTTAAAGGGAATCCTTGGTGCTAGATGTGCCCCTTTGCTGCGCGGCATCCTCTCCAAGGTGAGCCCCTTGGCTGCGCGGCACCTTCTGCTAGGCAAGACCCTTCCCCAAGTTAGATTGAACATAATCCCTGGTGCTAGACGTGCCCGTTTGCTGTGCGGCACCCTATGCTAGGGAATATACCCCTCCCCAAGTTGATTTAAAAAGAATCCTTGGTGCTAGACATGCCCCTTGCTGTGCGGCATTCGCTGATAGGCAAGAGCCCTCCCCAAGTTGATTCAAAAATAATCATTGGTGCTAGGCGTGCCCCACCTGCTGTGCGGCACCTTCTGCTAGACAAGACCCCTCCCCAAGTTGATTAAACAAGAACCCTAAGAGGTCCCAAAACGGCCCCCCAGGAGGCTTCAAAACAGCTGCCAAGAGCCTGACGAGAAACCTCCCAAGAGACACCCAAACGAACATCCAGGAGGCCTTGGACCCGCAACCCAGCCCCATCGGGCGGCGGCGGCCGGCGGCGGCGGGGGCGGCCGACGAGAAACAGGTTTCTCGTCGGGATCTTGGATGCTGTTTTGAAGCCTCCTGGGGGCCGTTTTGGGGCCTCTTGGGGCCTCGTTTGGTCTTCTTGGGGGCCTCATGGGGCCTCCTGAGTGTTTTTCGAGGCCTCCCAGGACTTTCTTGAGGCGGAATACCCCAGGAGCCCGCATGATGGATCCGTTGGAAGCGTGTCACCGGTGCGGCGCGGTCAGGGTGGCTTCACAATCTTTTGTGTTTATTGCATGTGCCTATAGATTGACTCTCCTGGGGCTTCCTGGGGCCTCCCTGGGCTTCCTAGGGCCTCCTGGAGCTTCCTGCGGCTTTCTGGAGCTTCCTGGAGTCTCCTGGAGCCTCCTGGGGCCTCCCGGGGCTCCCCGAGGCTTCCTGGGACCTCCCGGTGCCTTCTGGGGCTGTCTTGGCCCCTCCTGGTGCCTCCTGGAGCTGTCTTGGCCTTCTCCTGGGGCGCGAATCCTTTTGTGTTAAGCGTATGTGTCAATAGATTGGCCTTCTCTTGGGCCACGACTCCAGTGCGTTTCACGTATGTGCTTATAAATTGGCCTATTCTTGGGGCACGAATGTTTAGTGTTTTACGCGCGTGCTTATATATTGGCCGTATCATGGAGCGCGAATCCTTAGTGTGTTACGTGATGCCTAGAGATTTGCCTTCTTTTGGGGCGCGAATCCTTTGTGTTTACACATGTGCGTATAGGTTGGCCCTCTCCTGGGGCACGAGTCCTTTGTCATTCACGCGTATGCCTATAGATTGGCCTTTTCCAGGGGCACGAATCTTCAGTGTTTTACATAGTTGCTTATAGATTTGCCCTCTCCTGGGGCATGAGCCTTGCGTGTTTTACGTATGTGCCTATGGATTTGCCCTCTCCTGGGGCACGAACCCTTCGTGCTTTACGTATGTGCCTATAGATTCGCGCTCTCTTGGAGAATTAATCCTTTGTGTCTTACGTGTGTGCATATAGATTGGCCTTCCCCTGGGGCACGAGTACTTTTGTGTTTAACGTATGAACACGAATCCTGTTAGTGTTTTACGTATGTGCCTATATATTGTGATTGGCCCTCTCCTGGGGTACGATCCCTTTCCAGGGGCACGAATCTTTCGCGCTTTACGTATTTGCTTATAGATTTGCCCTCCCCTGGGGCACGAACCCTGCGAGGCGTTACGAGCTTCACCGCGCGTCAGGGGAATAGAGGCTTCAGGCCGAATAGAGGCTTCGCGAGCTGCACCGGGCGTCAGGGGAATAAGGGCTTCAGGCCGAATGCAGGCGTCACGGGCTTCACCGGGCGACATGGGAATAGAGGCTTCAGGCCGAATAGAGGCTTCACGAGCTCCAACGGGCGTCAAGGGAATAGAGGCTTCAGGCCGAATAGAGGCGTCACGAGCTTCAATGGGCGTCAGGGGAATAGAGGCTCCAGGCCGAATAGAGGCTTCACGAGCTTCACCGGGAGTCAGGGGAATAGAGGCTTCAGGCCGAATAGAGGCTTCACGAGTTTCAATGGGCGTGAGGGGAAAAGAAGCTTTGGCCGAATAGAAGCTTCACGAGCTTCAATGGGCGTCAGGGGATTAGAGGCTTCAGGCCGAAAAGAGGCTTCACGAGCTTCACCCGGCGTCAGGGGAATAGAGGCTTCAGGCCGAATAGAGGATTCACGAGTTTCAATGGGCGTGAGGGGAAAAGAAGCTTCAGGCCGAATAGAAGCTTCACGAGCTTCAATGGGCGTCAGGGGAATAGAGGCTTCAGGCCGAATAGAGGCTTCACGAGCTTCACCGGGCGACATGGGAATAGAGGCTTCAGGCCGAATAGAGGCTTCACGAGTTTCAATGGGCGTGAGGGGAAAAGAAGCTTCAGGCCGAATAGAAGCTTCACGAGCTTCAATGGGCGTCAGGGGAATAGAGGCTTCAGGCCGAATAGAGGCTTCACGAGTTTCAATGGGCGTGAGGGGAGAAGACGCTTCAGGCGGAATAGAAGCTTCACTCGCGTCAATGGGCGCCAGGGGAATAGAGGCTTCAGGCCGAATAGAGGCTTCACGAGCTTCACCGGGCGACATGGGAATAGAGGCTTCAGGCCGAACAGAGGCTTCACGAGTTTCAATGGGCGTGAGGGGAAAAGAAGCTTCAGGCCGAATAGAAGCTCCACGAGCTTCAATGGGCGTCAGGGGAATAGAGGCTTCAGGCCGAATAGAGGCTTCACGAGCTTCACCGGGCGTTAGGGGAATAGAGGCTTCA